TAGTGTTGTCCATATGTTCATGGGTGTTAGTCCATCCACTGGATCATGAGCAACCTACTCGTGGCCACACCTCCAAGCAGAATGATTCTTTCTTCTCCAATAGTGTCAACTGCCAGTAGCCTCTCAGTTAGGGTTGGGAGCCTCCTGAATTCCCTCATCCATGCTGTCATTTCCGAGTGCAATCGCTGTGGCATGTCCAGAAGACAGCATTTCCCAGCACCTTTTCCCATCTGTCCTCTTGACTTTTGTATTCTTTCTGCCTCTTCTTGGATGTTTCTTAAACCTAGGGTAGGTGTGTGTGTGTGGGGGGTTGCTGATAAAGCTGTCCCATTTAAGGGTGAAACTTTAAGGATGTGACTGCTGCCCACCACAAAAAGAAGCTTCTCTGACCAAGGTCGAAGCAGCCTCCTGGGTCAGTATCTTGTGAGTTTCAGAACTCCCTGTGCCAGTGGTTAGCTAGGGCCTCTTCTCTGAATCCTCCCCTTCCTCTGCTGCTGGGAGTTGTGGAAGTGCCTGTGTGCCTTACTCTGGATGAGATTCACTCTGACCATCCTTTCTCTTCTCAGGTTTTGTTTTCTAAATCCCTACTGTGAGCAGGCACATTTAATTACAGAAATTTCCTTCACACATAGTACTTTTTTAAAAGTCTGAATATAATTATATTGCTGATAAGATAAACTGGTGATAATTATATATGGAATTAACTAATATGAATAAAATTCTTTGGAAAGTGAATCAGAGACATATCATTTGCTATTTTTAATTTATGGTTTTAGGAAGTGTCTCTGGTGGTGGTTTGATGTGATCAACATTTTATTACAAGCCCTGAGAATCTTATTAGTAAAATATTTGGCAAACGTTATTATTAGAAAATGTCAGGCATTTGAGTCTATCCCCATAAAGCATTTTATTTTATAGGACTAATTTTTTGGATAGATGAAGAGTCAACCCATATTAGTAGTACAAAGGTGCTTTTAAAACTAGGAATTCTCAGGATTGGTACCATTAATTTTTGAACCCAAACAAGGTCCCTTTTTCCCATTTGGAACTGTAGAGCCAGTAGTAACAAGCAAAGCTTTGTGTCTAATTGAGACACAAAGGAGACTTTTATTGTTGGCTAAAAATAGGAGTGAGAGGAAGAGACTTGAAAATCAACTTCAGAGCCTATTGGGGTCAAGAGGTTATATATACAGTATAAAAGAAATGAGAAGTTTCCAGTGTGAGGCACACTGGAATTTTCCTCTTGTTGAGTGATCCTTAAGTCTCATTAGAGATCTATTGGTTTTGGCCAGGATAAAATGCAGAATTGTAGAGCCTTTTTTCAACTGTCCCTGGTATACAACACAACTTCCGCACCTAAAGGTTCAGGGATCAGTGCAAAAGAAGACCCACCGCCTTAAATGTAGATAGCACCATGCCTTGGACTGGGGTTCTAGAATGCATGAAAAAGAGAAAGCAAGCTGCGATTCTTTCATCACTCTCTCATGATGGACTCCTACTGTGAGCTAAAATAGCCACTTCTTTCTTTAAAAAAAAAAAGTTTTGTTTATGTATTTTGTTCCAGCAGTGTGTGAAGTACACAGTATACTCCTTTCATGGTTCTTTCTGGCGGTTGTAACAGTAGTTATCTACTGTCCTGGTGCTGGTAGGTAGGTCATTTGAAATGCAGATTGTAATGAAGTTAGAGGTTATCTGACCAGTTTGGCTAGCCCACCTGAAGAGTAACTTCTGGCCCACATGGGATATTCTTTAGCAGATACAGAAGATAAGAGCAAGGTAGAAATTTATGGGGCTATATATAGGCAGTATAAAAATGGAGCAGAAGTGTAGATCACTGGTGAAGAGAGCATTTGAGTAGCATCACTGGGCCTTGAGGTGATCCCTAGGAATTTTATTTGAGGAAAATAAAAACAATAGATAAACCCAGGGAATTTCTTCCTGTATTAAAATGCATACAGTTGATAAATTTGAGTATAAAGTATTTCCTATGGGCAGCAAATTGGACTTGGTGTGCTTTTTCCTTTTTTTTTTTTTTTTTCTTTTCTTTTTTTGGGAGAGGCGGGAGTGGACCTGGGAAGACTGGGAAGTGAGTGTGAATGGGTGCATTGTGTAAAATCCCCAGATAATCAATAAAAATACTATGTTGCGGGGGGGGGGGGGGGGGGGTGGGGTGGGTGTTTCTTAGATATAAAAACAAAATAGCTTGTTGAGTACTTTGGAAAATGGCATCTTCTTACAGATCAGGTCACCTGTTTTTACTCAGTTGAATGTCATTGAGAAAAATTGCATTCTTTTAAACAACTAATGTTGAGCAGCCTAGAACCACCTTCCTAATAGTTTAAGATATTTGTATTTTGAATACAAAATAATTTTAGGATCTTGGATACCAGCTAACTGAAGTGTGATGGTAATATACCGATATTGTGTTCTGTTGCTTCAAGTACACTTCATTTTTCCCTTCTGGTATTGTTTAAAAAGTGGCCTCTCCACTGAGGACTGCCACTTTCTTGTAATGAAGCTGCTCTCCACACTTTTGAAGGGAAGGCTCCCCTCCCCTTTAGGGCCCCCTCGTGCTGCCTCTGTACTAGGATGTACTGTCATTCCTAATGCTCTTTCACCTCAAGGCCCAGCTACATACCTATCCCTGTAAAACACTTAGTTTGAAGGGTAACTGGTCTCAGCATCCTTCTTTAACTCGCCTCTCTTCAACAGTCTCTTAACTTGAACTTCCTCCTGTCTGTTAGAATATGGAAATAGGGAAATAGGAGGAGAGGAGAAAATTAGAGAAAGGAAGAAAGGAAAATGGTGGGTGTAAGGTCCTCTGTTAAATATTTACATGTTGATCCTAGAAATTGGGTCCATCAGACATGATCAGGTCTTACACTAGCTGCCAAATGCCAAACTACCAGTAAAGCCAAGAGTATTAAGCTCCCAGCCTAGGTATCTAGAACCATAAATCTCTGGCCTCTAGAGTCTTGAGCCATAAGAGTCCAGTTGTCAGAGCTTGGAGCTGTGGACTCTTGAGTCTGTCAGCACAGCCATAAACTCTTAGCACTCTAGCACTCAGGTCTGCCAACAACAGCAGAAGGGCTGCTCCTCAACCACTCTGTTTCTGAGGAAAGCCAAGGGGCAGGAAGCTGATTGCTGGCACCTTTGTGAACCATGGGGAAGCTTTTCTAGTTTTCCTCCTCCACCCCTTCCTTCCTCATTCACCTGCAGGCTAATCCCAGCGTGTGTTCCCCACCTTCCATGTGACTTCCTCACCACAGATTATGACATGGTGTACCCTAGGCTGCCCAGGATACTTACGGAGTTAATTATTTTCATTAAAAGTTGTCAGTTGGGGGCTGGAGAGATGGCTCAGAGGTTAAGAGTACTGACTGCTCTTCCAGAGGGCCTGAGTTCAAGTCCCAGCAACCACATGGTGGCTCACAACCATCTCTAATGAGATCTGGTGCCCTCTTCTGGTCATACATGCTGTATACATAATAAATAAATCTTAAAAAAAAAAGTTGTCAGTTGGGTGTGGGTGGTGTACACCTTTAATCCCAACACTCAAGAAGCAGAGATAGGTGAGTTTGAAACCAACCTGGTCTACAGAGTGAGTTTCAGGACAGCCAGGGCTACATAGAAACTGTGTTTTGAATTAAAAAAAAAAGTTCTCAGAATTTTTATTGTAATTATCATTGCCTTAACACTCACCTCCTGCCTACCATCCCCCAGCAAAACACACACACACACACACACACACACCCATTCTTTAGATTCCACTGGATTGGTGATTTTCTTTTCTTTTTTTTTGAGCTGAGGATCGAACCTAGGGCCTTGCAAGCACTCTATCACTGAGCTAAATCCCCAACTCCTGGATTGGTGATTTACTGGGTTGGTGAATGGTAGCTTAAAGCTGTCTTGCCTGCATTTTTTGTTTATCTTGTTTTGTTTTAAATGGAGTCTGTTACCTGGGCTACTCTCAAATTCCTGGGCTTCCAGAGTGCCAGGATTATAGGTCCAACCTACACATCCAGTGCAGGCATTTTGGAATAGAATACTTGCATAGTAAGGAAAGAGAGATTTGTCAATATTTCAATACTCAATGAGAAAAAAAAAAGATAGCCTTGACTTTTAATCAGGCAGGTGGTAAGGAATTGTGGTCAAAACTGAGATGAATTGTTTGATGCTCCAAACACATCAGAAGTGAATTACTTGTGTAATAATGTATGAGCCCTCCCCCTTCTTGATCTTACGTTTTCTATCCTGCTTCCTATCCTTTCAGCCATTATAGTTGTACCAAATGTTGCTGTTGGGTGTTAGAGGATATATCATCACTCTCACACACAAAAAAGACCCTTGTCTGTTAAACAGATGCAATATGTGCTAATAATTTACTGCCTGACTTTCATGTTAATTATAATTATTTGCTTACATTTATTCTTTTGTGTGTATGGGGGTTACACGTATTTGTGGAGGTCAGAGGTCAACCCCAGGTGTTCCTCAGAAACTAACCACTGTATTTTGAGATAATGATCTTGCTGGGATATGGGGCTTGCTGATATGGTTAAGTTTGATAGCCAGTGAGCCCAGGTATCCTCCTATGCCCAGCTCCTTTACACTGGACTGCACATGATGCTCTACTTAACCCAGCTTTTTATGTGGTGCTGGGGCTTGAACTCAGGCCCTCATATTTGTGTGACAAGCTCTTTACTGGCTAGCTATTCTCCCCAGCCCCCCCCCCCTTTTTTTGGGGGGTTTGGTTAGGTTAGGTAAGTGTGCATTAGAGAAGCAGTTCATCATAATAAAATGGTTTTGAAGAACCAGTCAGTAGTTACTTACATGTAACATGTACTGAGCAAAGCTTCCGTGGTAGTTTAATTTTTTGTGATGCACTCTTCCTAATGAGGATGACCTAGCAGTCTGTGTTACTGTGGTGCACAGAGTAAGGACTTAGATGTTAATACTGCACAAATTTATTTTCTTATGTCAACCTTTCTTTTGTTTTGCAGCCTCGGTGAATATTTGGATGAAGCCATTAAACTAATTGCTTGTCATCATGAGCAGAAGCAAGCGTGACAACAATTTTTATAGTGTAGAGATTGGAGATTCTACATTCACAGTCCTAAAACGATATCAGAATTTAAAACCTATAGGCTCAGGAGCTCAAGGAATAGTGTGGTAAGTTATTATTTCAAAATAAGGCAAACAGTCTTTAACTGCTGCCTTTTTCTTCTTTGTAAAATAGATCCTTTGGTAAATAATCAAATTTACTCAAAAAAAAAAAAAAAAAAGAAAGAAATCAAAGCTATGTAAAGCTATAATGTGGTAATTTTTCCTCAGAGATTACTGATCTTTTTTGTTATTCCTAAACTGTAATTATTAACCAACAGTGCTATCTTGAAATATAAACTATGATTAGATACTTACTTGGTCAGAGTCATGTGCTTATATCAGGAAAAAGGAAGTGGCAGGCTTATTTATTCCATGCATACATCTATTCCATAGCTGATTATGAGATGCCTCACTTAATCTTTACTTTCGCTCTATAGTGAAACAAAAATTTCATAAATCTTACTACTTTACACTGGGGAATAAAGTCAGCTAGCACATCTCACTATGTTTCAGAACTTACATATCTTTAAAGTTGACTTACAAGCTAACCTTTACCCAAAACGCTTAGGTTTTATAGATGAACATAATTCTTTAAAAATTGAAGTAGGTAACAGTCCTTGGGATAGTTTTGCTACTGATTCAGAATCACTATGTTAGCGTTATAACCTAGTGTTTGGAGAAATGCTAAGCCGTACCCAAGCATAATTACATCCTTATTACTTCTTAAACAAAATTTGTTTAAAATCTGTTAAAAGAAGTTGGGAGTGTTTATGATCCAGCATGTTTATAAGGTTCTAGAAAAGCTCTTGCATATGTCCAAAATACATGTACATAAGGCTGTTCTTTGAAGCATGAATTCCAATTTTAGAAGTTAAAACAGCATCAAGTCTGGCAACGGGAGAATTAAAAAATTATGATACAGTCAAACAGCAAAATACTGTACAACATTTAAAATGAACTGAAGCTGTATGTGTCAGATGGGCACTATCAGAAGTATAGTCCCGAGTAGTAAAACAATCTACAAAAACACCATATTGTATTATTTCTCTGTAATATGTAAAATATGCAAAGCGTTCCATATACTTAGAGTTGACTACATATGTAGAAAAGATAAAAGTTTACCTCTGAGAACAGAAGAGGAAGAAGTCTTTACCTGTAATATGTTTCTCTTTTTTAAAAAATCAGAATTATGGTAAAATATTAAAATCTAACAGTTGTATAATGGAAACACTGGTTTTTATTCTTTTCTAAGGTCCTCAGATCTAGTATTCATACTTATTAATACCTTGAGTTTTTAGTTCCTCCTCCAAACAGAATGTTAAAGGACTTGTTTTTAGTCTTTTGTATATGTCCTCTCAGTGTAGCTTCCTTTGTGTACTCACTGTCTTGTGTCCTAAAGGATTAAGACACTATATTATTCTTCAATAAATAAATTGTAAATTTTTTTAATGTGTGTGTCTGGGTGTGTTGCCTGCATGTATGTCTGTGTGCCACTTGTGTGCCTGGTGCCTATGAAGGCCAGAAGAGGGTATTAGATCCTTGGAACTAGAGTTACAGATGGTTGTGAACCTCCGTGTGGGTGCTGGGAGTCAAACCTGAGTCCTTTGGGAGAGCAGCTAGTGTTCTTAACTACTGATCCATCTCTCCAGCCCCAAAATTCTTCAGTAAATATTTTAAGTAGAAGTCATGAGCACATAACGTGGTTTTTTTTTGATAGAGGTGCAAGGTGAAGGAGTCATTTAGACTTCAGACTAGTACTGGGAATTGGTGCATCAATGGCTCAGTGAGTAAAGAAAGGAACCTGCCATTAAGCCTGACTACCTGAGTTCAGTCTCCAGGATCCATATGGTGGAAGGAGAGAACCAGTTTATACAAGTTGTCTTCTGTCTTCTGCATGACACCCCTAACCCCCCCCACACACACAAACATACAAAATAGATACATTTTTTAAATGCACTCATGCATACCTGTACTGAGTGATCTTGGGTGACACATAGTCTTGGTAGAAAAAGTAAGGAGTCTATGTGATTGCTTTGTAAATTTGGTTTTAGAACTTTGTGCTTAATGTTTATTTTTAATTTCTTATTACAGTGCAGCTTATGATGCCATTCTCGAAAGAAATGTTGCAATCAAGAAGCTCAGCCGGCCATTTCAGAATCAGACTCATGCTAAGCGAGCCTACCGAGAACTAGTTCTTATGAAATGTGTTAATCACAAAAATGTAAGTGAATAGTTCATGTTTCGTATGTATAAATGAAATCAAGATTTATTCGTGAATACATATCTGTCAAGGCTTTTTTGTTTTTAAATATTAGGGGCTTTAAATTGCTTCTCTAGATTGAAACATTGAAACATTATTTAAAATCTACAGACTGATCTTCTCCCGTCCCCATTCCCTACCTCCATTAGTAGGTACCAAAAGGAAAAAAAATGACTTCTGGGAGAAAAAAAACAATGACTTCTGAAATTTAGATTGGGTAGTTTTCTGGCATTCAATTTGTAGAAAGAGTTTTAAGAAGGTAATTGTTTGAAAAGCATTTTCTTCAGAATTTTTCTCATCATAGTTTTTTGTTTCCTGCAAAGCTGGCATTTCAGAAAACAGTAGAGAGATGAAATCATTCCCATTGTACTTGGATGTTGGAACTTAACAGGACACAAAATTTAAACTACTTCTCTGCATCCACTTCTGACTTCTTTTAAGTGGTATCAGTACTTACTTTCAACTCAGATAACTGCTGATAATAATAGTTGAACAAAAACTTTAGAAATATTTACAGAGAATGAGGAAAGCATTTCTAACTTGAAGATAAAGCTTTCATTCATTTTGAAAATGAACAGTCAAACTTTTTTTCCCCCCCCATACCAAAAGGGCGTCAGATCCCATTATAGATGGTTGTGAGCCACCCGTTTGGTTTCTGGGAATTGAACTCAGGACCCCTGGAAGAGCAGCCAGTGCTCTTAACCGCTAAGCCACCAGCCCCAGTTAAATGTTTTTAAGTTTGCATTAAGCGTACTGATATGTTTGTGATTATCTTAATGGGACAGTCCTTCTAAACTGGGAGGACATAAACTAGGAGAGAATCGCAGCAAGGGCAGTTTATGAACCACTGACCTGAAAGTGCTGGCCTGAGACATATTATCCAAAGGAATTTATAAAATATAATGAGTTCCATAGTTTCTGGTGTAGAAAATAACAGTTCATCACATTTTGAGAGCCAGCCATGTATAGAACCTTTGTATATTAAAGTTACAGATTTATCACCGGTGGGAAATACGTAGATGTTAAGGAATGGGCTTATTATTTGGGAAGTTTATGATGTTGTTTTGAAGACAGTGAAACATGATAAGAGTTAAATACCACCAAGCAGTAATAATTTCACTGTCAGATAGTAGAGGGTGGACAGTGCATGGTGACATCTCCAGAGGGAGATTTCTGTGAGCTTCAATGAAGACTTCAAAGAAGACTTGAAGGACAGGGGAGTAGACTTTAACTGACTCTTTAAGATGGGGTAAAAGTTAGGTTTTTTGGGAAAGGGGCTGACAGGAAGAGTGGTCATTATCAAGGAAGAAATTGCAGTTTCTTGTTTTGCAGGTGGGAGCCAGACATGGTGCTTGTCAGAGTTCTGCTTGTGTCCCTACCTCTGCTAGAGCTGCTCATGCTCCTTGTTGTCTCTGGACCTAGTTTCTTTGAGGGCTGTGGAAATGCTGCCTCAGTTTTTCTTGATTGAATACAAATACTCCTTCCCCCGACCCTGGGTGACAATAAAGATGTTCCATCTGCTAAATGGAGAGCAAGGGAAGCATGTCTTGTATGCTTAGCTGTCTACAGTTGACCAGACTGGGTTCTTAACATAGTTTGTTCATTGAATGAATATAAAACTAATACGGTTAAAAAACCATGAATACAGCTCCACCCTGCCACCCCTGGTGTATGATGGATTTTTTTTTATAATGTTTTATCTTTTTAGCACTTTACTGTTCTGCACAGATCATTTCGAAGTGATGTTTCCATGCTGTTTTCAAGGTTTTTGTATTTGTGGTTTCTCTTTTAACCTGGTCACTCCGATGAGACACTTAGCACACAGTGTCTAATCGCTTCCTCTAAAAGCTGTTGAGGCTTGTCTTTCTATTGCACATAAACCACTTGACTCACACTGTCTAACAGGTAATTGCCAAAGGCCTGATAGTAAGTTACATTGCATCCTGTTGACCTAGGAGAATTAAGTATAATACTTTCTGTTGTTCCACTTTAGATAGCAGTGGTGAAGTGTGGTTGTCCTTCCCAGAGTGTTGGGGGTTACCCACACCACCCCCATCTCTTCATTCTTACTTTGCATTTACTGGCTTTACTTCCCAGAATTGCTCAGATCGTCTTCATAATAGCTGGAACTATTGTGAAGTATAAGTTAAGTATATTGTAGAAATTGCCGTACATAACTATCAGAATTATTCAGCTTCCCTTAATTCTTTATGTTCACGTGCAAATTATTAGAGACATTTTCACAAATACCTTTTTGAAATCTTTATATACTATGTCTAGTTGCAGTATTCCTCCATTACTGTTATTCTTTGTTGTTGTTTTGTCCGTAGAGGGAAATAATGTTTTTCAGTAGGTTTTTACTTGGTTGTGGTAATTATTAGTTCTTTGGTATCTAGCCATATTCCATCCAGTAGTCAGTCATTGACTTTTGCTTGACTGTCTAATCTGATTAAGATAATTTATTTGCTTTCTTGAAAAACAAAACAGCTGTGTTTCCATTTGCCTTAGAAGCTCAGTAAAGATACAGCTCAAATACTATTCAGTTCACCAACTTGTGTATATAGTCGAATAGTTTAATATGTTCACTAATATATGTAACCAGAAAGAAACCCTATGTCCTTTAGTTGTCCTCCCCTGTATCCCACTCCCAGCAGCTCTAAGCATTCACTAACTCCATTTTTGTTTCTATATATGCCTTTAGCCTTGACTGTCCTGGAACTCGCTCTGTAAGCCAGGCTACCCTCGAACTCACAGAGATCCACCTGCCTCTGCCTCCCAAGTGCTGGGATTAAAGGTGTGCGCCACCACCGCCAGCAGATTTGTTTAAAGATTTATTTATTTCATGTTCATTGGTGTTTTGCCTGCATGTATGTCTGTGTGAGGGTGTCAGATCCCCTAAAACTGAAGTTACAGGCAGGTGTGAGTGCTGGAAATTGAACCCAGGTCCTCTGGAAGAGCAGCCAGTGCTCTTGATCACTGAGCCATCTCTCCACCAGTTATCCCCTCTGTCTTAAAGAATTAGTTTTACCCTTTCTGGCTTAATGTTTTTCTGAATATTTACTGACAGATGCCTTCTGTAAGCAGAGCTTAGTACATACATGAATGGCATCCATTCTCTCCCCATGAAGATTATGTCTAGAAAAACATATCCTTGCTTAAATTGCCAGCAGACATTTAAAAATAGAAGTCAAGTGCATTGTTGCATCCTGGCCTATGAAAGCATGTCAGCTAGTTCTTTCTAACAAGGATCCTGTGTGGTCTGGGATGAACTTGTTATGAGAATAAGACTCTGTTACAATGTGCTGAATGTAGGAATGACATGGATAGTAACTGAGGGCCAAGTAGGATAGTTGTCCTTAAAGTCAATGGAAGGGCTTCACATAACACTTTCTATTTATGAATACTCTATCAAGCACTTATTTTATATAAATACCTACATAATTTGTCATATAGTCAGTATGACTTTTAGGACAGTTTCATAGCAAATGTGAGAAGAAGATGCAAGCTTGCACGTATCCCACCCCCAAAATCAGTGTCTACCACCTGAGTAGTACATTTGTCATAATGGATAAGCCTGCTTTAATGGTTCACTCAAATTCCATAATTTACATTAGATTACACTCTATTCTATTTTTCTTTTTGGTGCTAGGAAATTTACCCAGGGTCTCTGCATGCTAAGTAAACATGACCGCCCCTAAGGTTCGCTTGGTGTTAGAGAACCTATGAGTTTGAACTAGTGTATGGTATTTATATATATATAGGTAGGTATGTGTGTGTGTGTATATATATATGTATGTATGTATTTCCATCTTTATAGTACTCATTTTTATTTGCCCGAGAGATCTTCTGTTCTTCCTAGTCATTCTTTTTCTGTTCTCCAATTCTTAGCAATGAAGTTTTAATAAATATATATGTTTATTTGTGCTTAGTATATAAACTGGAGTGGTTTTAAACTGATAGTGAATTACTGTCACACGTGTATTTGCAGTTCCCAAATGAAGCATTAGGAAGTAGTTTCTGATGTTTTTATTTCTTTGCTTTTGCTGCAGATAATTGGCCTTTTGAATGTTTTCACACCACAGAAATCCCTAGAAGAATTTCAAGATGTGTAAGTGTGGTAATTAAAATGCTGTTACTATAAAGTTTTGCTAGTACCTATCCATAGATTGTTGCTATACACTTTAGCTGTCATCTTTTTCTACCCATGAAGTTACATAGTCATGGAGCTCATGGATGCAAATCTTTGCCAAGTGATTCAGATGGAGTTAGATCATGAAAGAATGTCCTACCTTCTCTATCAAATGCTGTGTGGAATCAAGCACCTTCACTCTGCTGGAATTATTCACCGGGTTAGTAGAAAAATATCACCATGTTCTTTTCTAAGGATTTTTTTTTTTAATTTTGTGTGAAGTATTTTGCTTGCATGTATTTAAGTGTACCACATGCATGCAGTGCCTGCAGAGGCTGGAAGAAGGCGTCAGATCTGCTGAAACTGGAGTTACAGACAGTTGTGAGCTGCCATGTAGGTGCTGGGAGCCAAACCTTAGTCCTCTGCAAGAACAGCAAGTGCTCTGAACTATTGAGCCATTGTCTCTCCAGCCTGCCATGATCTTTTTCTTTTAAATCATTGAAGTGAAATTCACATAACAAACTATTTTGAAGTATATGACTCAGTGGCATTTAGTCCATTCACAATGTTGTACAACCACCACCTCTATCAAATTCTAAAAATTTTCATCACCTTTCCTCTAAAATAAAAACTTAACTGTCACTTTTCATCTCTGTCTCTCTCCTTACACCCTAGCAATTCAATGTCTATGGATTTACCCGTCCTAGATATTTTGTATAAATGTAATCATGTAATATATGGCCTTTCATGTCAGGCTTCTTTGACTTGTGTAATGTGTTTGCAGTGTCTATGCTGTAGCATATATTACTATGTACTTCCTTTTTGTGAATGAATAATATTCCATATGGCGTATTCCACAGATAATTTATGTGTTACTTCCTTTCAGTTAAATAGTGTTTCGCTATGAAAATTCATGTGCAAGTATTTCTTCAATCTTTGTTCTTAAGGGTTTTTTTTTTTTTTTTTTGGTGGAATTACTGTATCATGCGGTGTTAATTTTTTAAGGAACCATCAAACTGTTTTTCAAATTGGGTACATTTCACATTCCCAGAATCAATATTTAGGGATTCCAGTTTTTCTGCAACTTTTCCAGTATTTAGTACCTGACCTTTTCATTTTAGTCATAATGGATATGAAGTGGTATTTTATTGTAGTCTTGATAAACATTTTCCTAATGGCTAATGATAGTTGTCTTAATTACTTTTCTATTGCCATGACAAAACACTATGACCAAGGCAAGTTATAGAAGAGAGAGTTTACTGAGGCCTTACAGTTTCAGAGAATGAGTCCGTGACTAACCTGCTGGGGAGCATGGCAGCAAGTAGGCAGGCATGGCACTAGAACAGTAACTGAGAACTTACATCATGATCTGCAGGCAGCAACAGAGAGAGAGTACTAACTGGAATGATGTGGGCTTTTGAAACCCAAAAGCAGCCCCCAGTTACACACCTCTTCCAACAAGGCCACACCTCTTTAATCTTCCCAAACAGTTCCACCAACTGAGGACCAAGTATTCAAATATATGAGCCTATGGGGGCCATTCTCATTCAAGCTATTACAGTGGTCAAACATCTCTTTATTTGTTGGTTAGCTATTTCTATGTGGTTCTTAAAAAAACATGGTCTTCTTTTGTTTGTTTGTTTTTTGGTTTTTCGAGACAGGGTTTCTCTGTGTAGCTTTGCGCCTTTCCTGGAACTCACTCTGTAGTCCAGGCTGGCGTCGAACTCACAGAAATCCACCTGGCTCTGCTTCCCGAGTGCTGAGATTAAAGGCGAGCAGCACCACCGCCTGGCAAAAGAGAGATGGCTCAGCCGTTAAAGGCTAGGCTCACAACCAAAAAAAACATGTATTTTTAAGCCCTTGGTTCTTAATCAGTTGTGTGCCTCTTTGTTGCAGATTGTATATGTGAGAGAGAGAGTGAGTGTGTGTGTGTGTGTGTGTCCTAGTTCTATATATACTAAACCTTTACCAGACATAATTTATACATAGATTGGTTTTCACTTTGCTGATGAGGTCTTATGTCTTGCATAGGGATCTGCTGCCAAAGTGAAGGTCATAAAGATTCAACATTATCTCTTCTTATAAGAGTTTTATGGGTCTTTGGTCTATTTTGAATTGATTTTGTACATGGTATGATGCAAGAGTTTATCTTTATTCTTCAATATGTAGAAATCTATTTGTCCAAGCTCTCAGAGAATTGTACTGATACCCTTTCAGAATCCAGCTAGTCACAAATACATGGTTCTCTTCCTGGACTGCCAGTTTTATATAATTAGTCTTTATGTCTGTCCCTATATTGGAATCACATTTTTACAAATTTTAGTGTGTGTGTGTGTGTGTGTGTGTGTGTATGAATTGCCATTTGGATGCTGGAGGCCAAACCCAGGTCCTCTGGAAGAGCAGTAAGTGCTCTTAACCACTGAGCCATCTCTCCACCCACCAGTTACAAATGTTACTCTGTACTGCTTTGGAATGGGAAACTGAATCCTGACTCCTTTCTCTATAGTTTTGAAACTGCTTTGAGTATATATGAATTTGAAGGTCAGCTTTTTCATTTCTGCAGAAAAAGCCACTGGACTTTTGAACAAAGATTTCATTGAATCTGAAGATTGGTTTGGTGATTTTATCATCTTGGCAGTATTTAGTATTCCAATTTGTAACCCATAATATCTTTCCATTTCCTAAGTTGTGTTAGCCTTTAGTACTGTAAGTTGGGTAGCTGAACTAGCAGGAGTTATTTTCTCACACTTCACAGTGCCTAAAACTGAATGGTTTTGGTGAGGTCCATAAGCACTGTCTTTTATCTTCACACAGTCTTTCCTCTGTCGTGAGTTGTCATTGTGCTTCTTTCTAACCCTCTCACGTGTTCATACACTGATTTGTTTAAAGACCATGTCAACTGCACTGTACTTTGACTTCTCTTCAGTCTGGGCAGCTTCCCGCTTCCCCCCCCCCCCGCCCCCCCCCCCCCCCAGTTGCTCTAGCGAAGACGTACAGTCAAATGCTGAAGACCAGTAGCAGAGATCGGCATCTTTGTCTTGCTTGTCATCACCATTGATTAGTGTTTCCCACTATGAAAACAGATACCTGAAGCAAGGCATTTGTTTATGAGGAAAAGGTTTTTTTTGTTTTGCTTTGTTTTTTGTTTTTGAGACAGGGTTTCTCTGTGTAGTTTTGGAGCCTGTCCTGGATCTCGCTCTGTAGACCAGACTGGCCTCGAACTCACAGAGATCCACTTGGCTCTGCCTCCTGAGTGCTGGGATTAAAGGTGTGTGCCACCATCACCCAGCTAAGGAAAAGAATTTATTGAATTTATTTAGCTCAGTTTTGGAGGCTGAAAATCTGAGATCGGGTAGCCTCATCAGCCTCTGGTGAAGATCATTTAGACCACTTATAAACATGGCAAAAAGCAAATCTGATTGTGTATAAAAGGTGCCAAGTGTGTAGGGTGCCTTGCTGTATACTAACTCCCTCAGGAGAGCTAACCCATTCCACAAAACCAACATTAGTCTCCTCTGAGGACAGTGTCCACGACTTAATTACTTTCTAATAGTCCCCACCCTGTACAGGTTCCAGCATTTCCCTTGGAGGACACATGCAAACATTTTCAAACCGTAGCCACTATTAGATATGATAGCAGCTGTAGAGCTTGGTACATACTCTTTCTTATTGTAAAAGTCATGCTGTCTACTCAGAGGTTACAGCCTCCATAAAATGTGCTTAATACATAAGGCATGCCTAGGTCCAAGGGTCCCCAGAACTACCCCCATTTTAGATCATCTGGTTACAAATCACCAATCCTACCATCTCCCTGAGTTTTACTGTTTAATTAGCATGACCACAGGACTCCTGGTGGTGGTACACTTCAACTATGGTGTTACTATAAACTGAATGGTAAGAGTCAGAACCAACCAAAGAAAGAGGTTTGTGGGGAAATCTGAGTCCAACATAGAGCTTTTAGATGTTTTGTTGGCTCCAAAGTATGACAATGCAGTATCTCCAGCCAGGGAAGCTCACCCAGTCTTTTGAGATCTAGATATTTTATTTGGTCACAGTAACATAGCACTGTCCTAGCTGATAGTCAGCGGTCATTATCTGATTGATACTAATACATTGACTCTCCATTTCCTCCAAGGTTGGAACTTGGAAAATATAATCATAAATTATGTTGCTGGGCTGTCTATGACCAAAACCCCCACACTAGCAGGACAGTCCTGTCAAACAGGATATTCCAGGTGTTAAAATCACCTGTAGTTTAGGACAAAGGCCAAACCCCCTCTTACAGAAGATTAATTCTCCATTTATCTTAGATACCTGATTTGCATATTTGTTGATTTAGCCAAAGGTTTTATGCACCAATTTGTTACTGTATGTATGGCTTCCCTTCAGCTATCTACATTGATAGATTTTTGTGTTTTGAACTCCCCTTTATTTCTAGGATAGATCCCAACTGGTCATAGTGTATAATCTTTCCAGTATACTATGGTTTGCTAGTATTTTTTGTTGGATTTTTACCGCTAGGTTCATTAATGTTTTAGTTTCTCATTTTCATGTAAAGGTGGTTTTATAATATGACTTTGGTATCAAGGTATTGGTACCATAAGTTAGGAAGCATTCCTTCCTCTCTTCTTAACTTTTAAATTCATTTTGGAAGATGTTAGGAAAAATAAAGAACAGCTGTAGAAATGTTCTTACTAATAGCAGACATACTGAGGTCTGTTGCCCTAATGACCTGTACCTTACACTAGGCAATGTGGGAAACTAGGGTGGAGCTGTGCGTGTAAGAAGCATAGAAGTATCCATAACAAACTAAAAATGGACAAAGTGAGAAATTACATTGACTACATTTAATTCAAAAGCCTCAGCTGGTGACTCTCATTAACCTCTGTGCTAAAAACAGGTTGCTTCTGGAGAAGTTTGCTGAAGGCCACCAGCAGCCATTCCTCCTGGGAAATGGAAGAATGAATATTCTGAGCCAAGGGTCTGAACAGACATCACAGGGTCTATTGAAGCCACTCCTTGGTTCACTCTTGCCACTGGCTTAGGACTAAATTCCAGCTGTCCCTGCCAGATAGCCCCTTGCTGTCTTTTCCTGAAGCAACTACCAAAAATTGACATGATAAACTGTAGCTGCTGGTTTTGCATCTAGTCCTCACAGCCCTCTCCTCCTTGCTAGATTCACCTTAACTCTGCCATTCTGTGATTACTCACTTGGTTTAAGAAACTAAACTTTTATTCCTTCCAAATACTGCAGAGTAAGGTATCCCTGTAGACACTTAGAAACCCATGCTGAGGGAGACTTCCCTAACTAGTTCTAACTGTGTCAGCAAAAGAAAGCTGCGTGGTAATGCACTGGCTTAACATGCTGGCCTGCAGGTGACACACACATCACCCCTATTCAGTGCATAAGCAGATCTAGCCATAAAGGCCTGCCTAGTTATAAAAGAGCAGGAAAATGGAGAGAGCAGACTCATGAATGTTGGTGAGTACCAGTCCTGCCATAGCCTGTGGTTGGCTAACATACTACTGCTCTCTGCCCCACACCTCCATAACAGGGACACACATTAATGTCTATATCAGATTCAGGCATAGGTCCTTTGGGCCTAGAAACACTGGAACTGACTCTGTCTTCCCTCTCCTTGAGTTCCCTCAATAGAACAGTCAGATGGGGCCAGGGTAGCCACAGCAGTCTCATTGGAAATCTGAAAAATACAGTGGTTGATTAGTTGGCAGTTGAAATTCTGCTGAATGGACATTGTAAGTGTCCCTCCCTCTAGAGGTGGGAGTGCTCACTTATTAGGGGTTGAATCTGATTTCTGCACAGTGCAACCTGTCTACTGTTGTCCAGATTACCTGGCTGCTCCCTGTGCGAGTCTTCCTTTCCTCCTTAAATATATCTGAAGTGAGTAGTGAAGACTGTGAGTTCAAGGACTGCTCCGCTTTCTTGGCCTGCTTCCTACCCATGAAAGACAGGAGCGCAGGTGTCTTCTGTTACTGATATTTGGAGCAGAAAGTTTTCTTTCTGTCCTGCCCATGTCGCTTTCTTGACAACAGTTTTGTTTTTCATAGTGCAGCTTTTATCAGTAACTAAAAGAAGTGTAGCTTTTTGATTGTATGTCTTTTTAAAGCATATTTGTTAGCTGACAGGCTCTGTATTCTTGGACTTAATTGAAGCTCTCTTGAGTCTTCCTTTAAGCTTTCAGGCTTCTTTGGACAGACTGAAGTGATTTCTTCAGTTTACGGATTTAATAAGGACTAAGGCTTTCGTTTGTTATGGGAAAATGATGCATAGAAACAAGCCAAGAATGTCAGTGACTTGAACCAACACAGTGCTTGCTCAGGGTCCTCAGGATTAGCTATGTGGCATTGCTCCATACCTTGGGTCAGGTTCAGGTTTGCTTCCCAGGGACATTGTTTTCCAATGGTATAAGGTAGAATAACAGAAACTATGCTAATTCGAGTATGTCCAGACTTTCTCTTCAGATCCGGTGAGCATCACATTGTTTTATGTTTTGTTAACTGAAACTGGCTACAAGGATAGGCATATAAAAGGATGATGCTTGGTCCAGGGATAAACTAAACCATCTGTCACCTTTTTGTGGGTTTCTAGGAGCATTTAGATTATCCAAAATGATGACACTGTTACCTTTCATTTCTACTTATAATATAGCTAGTTCTTTCCAATGGAGCCAGTAGTTACTAACAAAGTTTTGCTTTCCAACCTCTTCTAGAACTTGTTTATGTAAAGACCACATTCTAAGTGTTCTTACTTTGTGGATATGGCCTCTGTCACATCTACTGACTGAACTGTGCCCTTCAGTAGATAACATGGGGCAAAATGATTATGTCTAAGTTTGCTTAAAACTTCCTTTGCAAAAGCAGTCAGGCTCTCAGTTGTCAGCCCCTGTTCATTATGCAAGTCCTGTGCAGATAACATAAAATATTTTTGCATCTGCGTAGTTAGAATCTCTTCCCAATTTGTTACTGATTTCAGTGCTGTCCGGTCACCAACTCATGGCCCTGTGTCCTTGCACAGGTTGTCTGTGATCTGAAATGCGTGGGGCCAGAGTGTTTCAGATTGTGGAATGTTTTAGATTTTAGATATTTGCATAGTCTTTACCAGGTGAGCATCCCTAAATCTGAAAGTCAGAAATCTGATTTCTGCACAGTGCAACCTTGAAAATCAAAGCCCTGACATGATGGGTCCTGTATCATTGGACTAATATGAGGCTACCTTTAAGTTTTCCTTAGTGTAGACATCAAAGTGGATATAAGAAACTTTTGAGTTCTGTCAGTTATACTCAAAATGACTTAAATATGGACCTTTCAGATTTCAGGGTAGGGATACTCAACTTGTAATAGTTACTCCCCAGTCCTGGGTCAGTTAAACAGAATGCAGTAGGCTTGGCTACAGTAACAAATATCAGACTCTAGCTAAACATGCCTGAGGTTTATTTCTCATATTATGTGTACAGGCAGATCATGGTGAGGGTGGAAACTTGGCTCTATAGAGATGCTGAGCAACCCGGCTGCCAACAAAGCCCACTATCTGGAGTGTTCTTAATCACCAAAGCAAGGGAAGAGCTCGGGAAGTTGTGCTGGCCTTTCTCCACTTTGTTCCCATTCAGACACTACCTGCCAGGTCTACTCATGCCGCCTTGCCTGACTAGAGAAGCTTAGAGAGTCGGGCAGGAAAAAGGAATGTTGAGTTATTTCTACTCTCTCTGCACAAATGTAGTCACTCTTCTTCTATATGTAGTTAGCAATATGATGACATCTGTAAAATAATAATCCTTGATACAGAAAGATGAATTTTAGTTACTATTCTTACAGCCAAATACTCTTGACAATTTATTTTCTTAAACTGTTTCTTTAAAAAAATGTATTTGTTCATAATCGTTCCAGAATACAAAGTATTTTGAGTTTTTTCTAGACTGGAACCAGCTAGTATAAAGAGCCAGTAATCTTGAGCTGTAACAACAGACATGGAAGTGATATTAAAGTTTGTAATTTTTTTTCTTAAGCATGGACATTCCTTTGTTTTGTTTACTGTATTTCAGAAGTATTAACAACATTACATTTGCAGAACAGGAATGATAACATTTTTGTCTTCTGTTGGAATGACCTTATATTGTTAGTATGCTTAATTTCTAAAGTCCTTAGAGTCTTTCCTAAGCCTATGCATGGTGGCATGTCAGAGTAAGTTAGAAACAGCAAACAAGCAATTCCTGCATGTAGACATTTAAAAAGGGATCTTTGTCTTGAAGGCCTTTGCTTTTGTTTGTATCTGCTATTCATCTGTGCATGTGAGATAGTGTAACTGTGATGTGGATATGAGTGTTCATCAAAGCCAACAGGCAAAAGCTTGATGAATGTCAAGCCCTAAGTATTTTATGCCACTGCCTTCTTTTTAATAAGCATCACACAGATTTCCTTCTGGCTGGAGCCAATTGGTAGATTTTCATAAAGACGTTATGTAGCATTAACAGCAGAAAGTAATTTTATGGACTAGTGGCACCAGCACACTAGTGTCTGCTACATGTGAACAGATGTTTGTGATTTTATGTGGGAAGTCAGGAATGAGCAGGCTGATAATCACTATTTTGGTCCTGTCTATTGTACTGAGATTGATTCTACTCTCTCCCCATAAAAAGCAAACATGTGTGACTATGAATGTTCAAATAACATGCCAAGATTATGTCAAGATCATGTGAATATTAGCCAAATGTTTCATAGTTTTAGAGTGATATAATACTTGTTGTGACTTTAGAGTAAGATTTTTAATGCTGTTAGTTTAGTATGCAAATGAATGTAAATGCTAATTTATAACGTCTTACCATAGTAGTTCTTTTATTGTTGTTTGTCATTGGTATTTTAAGACAGAGTCTTGCTGTTGCTATAATTTGCTTTCTGTTGCTGTGATAAAACACTGACCAAAAGCAACTTGGAGAAGAAAAGGCTTATTGCATCTTAGATTTTCATGTAACAGTCCATCTCTGAGGAAAGTCAGGGCAGGAGCCTGGAGTAGTAACTGAAGCTGATTCCATGGAGGAGTGCTGTTTACTGGCTTGCAACTCCATGTTTTTCTCAACCTGTTTTTATGCAGCCAGGACCACCTGCCCAGGGAGGGCACCATTCACAGTGGGTTGGCCCTCCCACCTCACTGGTTAGGAAAATACCCCACAGAATTGTCTCCGGGCCATTCTGGTGGAGATGGTTTCTTCATTGTTGTTCCCTCTTCCCAGAGAACTCTAGCTTGTTGTGTCCTATTAACAAGAAAGTAAGCAGTGCACTCTGTATCGTGGACTTCCAGTCTTTCTGCCTTGGCATCAGGTATCGGGATTACAAAGGATGAGCCACTATGCCTAGCACAAAAGTTCTTTTTTGTTTGTTTAATTTTGTATTTCTTTTGTGCTGTTTTGCCTGTCTATGTGATGGTGGAGAATCCTCTGGAACTGGAGACACAGTTGTGAGCTGGCATGTGGGTGCTGGGAATTGAACCCACTTAACTACAGAGCCATCTCTCCAGCTCCACACAAAAGTTCTTAAATGAGCTTTAAAATGTCTTTCCAAATCTCTTGCTCTATTTGACCAAGAATTTCTAGCTAATACTCATTTCTAGAAGATAAAACATTCCTAACTTCCGTACTGGGTTTATGTATGAAAATATCTTAAATCTGACTTCTTGGGTTTGCCTATTTGTGTTTAATCTCTGTAGTGATGTTACATTGAAAACAGTGAACAATTAACAAACTGACAGATTATGTAGCTCAGTTGAGCAGTAAAACCTTTGTATCTGTCTTAGCAATCATTTTAATGTTTATTTCCTGAAGGACTTAAAGCCTAGTAATATAGTAGTCAAATCAGACTGCACTTTGAAGATTCTTGATTTTGGACTGGCGAGAACTGCAGGAACAAGTTTTATGATGACTCCTTATGTTGTGACTCGATACTACAGAGCGCCAGAGGTCATTCTCGGCATGGGCTACAAGGAGAACGGTCAGCATATACTTTCACTTTGAAATACTCTTTTGATTTAGTTTATCCATAAGTTTTTTATACTTAAATTGAAGTGCATGGAGTTAAGCGTGCATAAGTGTTTCAAACGTGTATCAAGAATCTACACATTTTACCATAAATATTTGGGAAAGCATGGGTATCTTATCATAAATGTGAATACTTGCCATCAGTCCTACCCCTAAAGAAAGAATTCTGAAACCAGAACTTATGCCCTTTGCTTGTCTGTAACTTTAACTTGAATGAGCATATATTTCTTAGTAATTTAATCTTAGTAGTAATTCTAGTGTATATTAGTCATATTTGCTTACATCTCCAATATTTAGTCAGTGTTAATAGTAGCACTCACTATAAACTGAGAGCTACGTTAAGGCTCAACTCTGAAAAGCTAATAGATAATGCAACCTTTCAGGAAGCACTAGTGTCTCATCAAAACCTGTGTCAAGCCTTAAGGAAATTGAATATATTATTATATGTGGATATATTAAACTTTTTAATGTGGTGTGTTTCTAGGGAGGAGGTTAGAACAGTGGTTCACTTTGAAGCAGAAAATTATTAAGTCAGTCTTGAAGATTCTTTATACATATATACATACACAAATACATAAACACACACACACACACACACACATATATATATATATATATAATGATACCATTGAAATTGGGGTCCTTGCTTAATTTCCTCTTCTTTTTTGAGCTAATTAAAAACAAATAGTTTAGATATCAACTAATTTAAGTAAACATGATATTCTGTTTTCTTAGTCTTAACATAAGATTTAAAAATTTTGTTTTGAGAGTTGATATTTCAAGTGACCAGAATGCAGATTGGTAATTGCTTTTCTGTGAAACTTTTGGTTATCACATAAATTGCACCATGTGTTAGTGTCCTTGACACTATGGTCTTGACATAGCTCCTTACCAGAAATTAGAGACCCTATTGTCAAGAATTGATATATTGAGGCTGGAGAGATGGCTCAGTGATTAAGAATACTAGCTGCTCTTCTGGAGTACCCGGGTTCAGTTCCCAGCTCTCCCATGACAGTTGACAACTGTCTGTAACTCCAGTTTCAGGGGATTCGATACCCTCACACAGAAAAATATGCACATAAAATAAAAATAATTTTCAAAATTAACTTTAAAAAAAAAGAATTGGCATATTACCCTCTCTTAGAAGAGAGTCACATAGATCATTTCATTGCTTTTCCTGCCTGTTCCCCCAGCAACCTGGTCAAATCTGTTCCCTCATAACTACATTAGCCAGTGGGGGATGGCATACAGATACCCTCTTTTCAGTCATACACACACACACACACACACACACACACACACACACACACACACACACTGATTTCATGTTTTGTTTTTTGCAGAGAACATCAAATTATTTTGGAAAGTTTAGGGTAGTCTATTCTATTTTAAAGTGCCTAATAGCAAATTCGACCCCTTGTAGCAAGTTTTCTACACAGTGATCTGTTGGAGACTCTTTGTAGATCATAGATCTGTAGGTGCTTTGATAGTTTAAAATAGAAAACTGGAAAAACACTTGTGTTTACCAAGGTTTCTTAACAGATAAGCTGTTCTTTCTCTTCGTTTGTTCCTTTTTGGGTAGAGGTGGGTATTAATGTAGAATGAAGTCGCAATGAAGACAACTGACTTTCAGTTCAGAAGATACAAACGAAGCTTTTTCAGTTCAATAAGCCTGTGAAATCCAGTTTGAAATTTTCTGATAAAAACTTTAGATTAGCATTTTATTAAGTTCAGAAACATTCTGTTTTTAATATTCTAAATTATTTCTGCTTGTGCTTTTTAAATTTAACTTAAAGAGAGAGTAAAATGCACAGTTAAACCTCAAAATAGTGCATCTCATTTTTATACTTTTATGACCTCATATACATTCTTAACTTTATTTATAAAGTTTGTTTGGTTCTACTTTATGTTTTCCAAATAATTTCTCAGTTATAAAATGTATATTTTTTAATTTATGCAATTTCTGTGCATGGCTCTCACTTTAAAATTAGATATGTAATTAAAATGCCACATTTCATATTTTCTTTTGTGATTGAAAGCTTTTTTAAAAGTATTTTGTGTTTTAAATTATTCCATTATTTGAACTTCAAACCACCTTTTCTTTTTGTGATGTTCTGCAGTTTTTAGATAATGCAGTCATATTATGCTTCTTTGATTTTAATGACCTTTTGCTTTGCTTTTCCTTCTTTTGTGCTGCAAACATATAGTGGATTTATGGTCTGTGGGGTGCATTATGGGAGAAATGGTTTGCCACAAAATCCTCTTTCCAGGAAGGGACTGTATCCTTGTGCTGCTGCAGCAGATTCATTAACTAGGTGATGAACTTCCTTCTGTTTGCTAATGAAAAGGAATATATTCTACATTTGTACATACAGTTTTTTTTCTTTTAATAGATGTAAAGTCTGTGGCTGTTATAGTTCAAAAAATTGTGGAGCTAAGAAACTAAAGTGTTTGTAGGCTGCACCCGGCAGCAGGACATACAGTCTCTGCTGGTAGTCAGAGCACATTCACTGTCATTCATTTTTATTTCGTATTGCTTTTTATAATTTTAAGTGTATATGGTGTACGTGTTTTATTTTAATGTTTATATATTTTTCTTTTTATTTTAACCAAAATCTTTATGTTAATGTCATTGCATTTTGTTTTCAGTTGACATTTGGTCAGTTGGGTGCATCATGGGAGAAATGATCAAAGGTGGTGTTTTGTTCCCAGGTACAGATCGTATCCTTATCTTTGGCCTAAAAATGTAGTTTCTAAAGGTCAAAATGTATGGTACCGCGTCAGCCTGGTCAGGTGGAATGTATTTTGTCTCTCCCTAATACAAAGTATTGTTAAATTACTCTCCAGAATACCACCTCTTACTTGACATAGACTTCCCTTTTCCTCATTGTTTCATGTGCTAATTTTAAAAAGTGCTCAAGTGCGATTATTCACAGTTCCTTGATGACTTTGAGTTGATTAACAAAATAATTAAGGCTTCCACTAAAAACTTCTAACACTTGAGTAAGTCTGTAACTCTTTTGAAGGCAGCATGAATTTTGGAATTATCTGTCGCTCCTGTCTGTCTTTTTGTTTGGTTCCCCCGTGTCTTTCTGTCACTGTTCTGTATGTTGTGTCTTATTGTCTCATTACATTAACATAACATGCTGAGAATGTCAGCAGGAAGTTTCCTATGTTGGTAATTAGGTTGGGATTCATGCTTTTAGCTCATCAACTTTTAATATTTATGTTAACAGTGAAGGGTCTATCAGTGAGTAACACAGAAGTGTTTTAGGTGGATGGAATGAGAATATTCACCATGTTACAGTAAGAGTGTTTGGGACATCAGTATTTGGAGATTTGGAGTAGAGAGCCTCAGAGGGAACAAGACCAGGAAGTTCTGGTCTACAGCATAATGAGATACTGGTATCATTTTCATGTATTTCAGCGCTTCACAAACGTAATTAACATAGGCAGACCTGAGAATGGCAAAAGAAAATGCTATTTCTATCCAAGTCATCATTTTTATCACTATCAGGTATTTTCTGTTAGTGTAAAGAACTCAAAAAAGCAGGACAGACTAGAAATATTTCTTACTCTCTAGGAAATGCATTTACATTTTTGAAGAGCTGGGGGAAAGGCAAATTTTAAATTTAAAGTTTTGTGCAGTTTACATTTTGAGTTTTATGAATATAGTGATAATTTTTGAGTTATTTTTATTTTGAATTTACTCGTTTATGCCTCTTTTATGGTGAAATTAATGTTTATATACACCACACATGTGCATGCTCACACACAATAAATAAGATTAACAGAGCTTATTTATTGCTCATTTTTATCCACTTGCAATCATTGCCTTTTGCAAGATGGCTTTGAGGTATAAAATATATAATGGCCACATTCTTTAAGTTTTAAACAATTTCCATTTTCTTGTATTTAATGTGGATAAGATTAAAATGTTGAACATTTGATACACGGAGTATTTTTCTTAGCTACTTGATAATAGATATTGATCAGTGGAATAAAGTTATTGAACAGCTCGGAACACCGTGTCCTGAATTCATGAAGAAACTACAACCAACAGTAAGGACTTACGTTGAAAACAGACCTAAGTATGCTGGCTATAGCTTTGAGAAACTATTCCCAGATGTGCTTTTCCCAGCTGACTCGGAGCATAACAAGCTTAAAGGTAAGTTGTGTGAGTGTGTACACCAAATTGTGTTTTGAGTACTCATGTGTGGTAAGAGTGCTTAGTCATATTCTTAAGAGATTTAACTCAAAATTATGTCTGCTAGTGGAACATAGGAAAGTTTTGTTCTTTTTGCTTTTTAGCTAGGTATAGTGGCATTTGCTTTCAATCCTTGGATTGGGAAGCAGAGGCAGGAGCATTTCTGAGTTCAAGGCCAGCTAGGGCAACAAAATGGGAGACCCTGCTTCAAAAAAGAAAGAAAATTTTTTGTATTTTTATAAACCATGTATGTGTCCTGGTTTTATAGTAAAAACTATCTTTAGGTGTGGAGGTCCACAACTGTACTCCCAACACTTGGGAAGCTGTGGCTGAAGGATTGATTGCCAGGAGTCTGAGACCATCTTGTGCTTTGTGAGTTCCAGGTTAGCCTAGGAACATAGCATGACCTGGTCTTTTTTAAACAAACAAACAACAACCAAAAAAACAATAAACAAAACAGGGACTAGAGAGATTGCTTGCTGCTCTTGCAGAGAACCCGAGTTTAGTTCCTAGCACTCATGTGAGGCAGCTCACTGCAACCACCTGTAACTCCAGCTCCAGGGACTTGATGCACTCTTTAAAAATGTAATCTTTCTTTTAATGCTCACAAAAATCAATAATGAAAACATTCTTTTTTAAAACATAGAATTTGTTTTGTCTTGGTTTGGCTTGGTTCAGTTTGAGATAGCTATTTACTGTGTGATCCTGCCAACCTGGGACTGGAACCAGGCTGGCCTGGAAATTGGGATCCTTCTGCCTCTGTGTCCTCAGTTCAGCAGTTAAGCATATACACCACTATGCCTGGCAAAGATTTTTTTGGTTTTTGGGGTTTTTTGTTTTGTTTTGTTTTTGAGACACGGTTTCTCTCTGTAGCTTTGGCACCTTTCCTGGAACTCACTCTGTAGCCCAGGCTGGCCTCGAACTCACAGAGATCCACCTGCCTCTGCCTCCTGTGTGCTGGGATTAAAGGCGTGCACCACCACCACCTGGCTATAATTTTTTTTAAATAAAAGATAACCTCAACTTTCTAAAGGTAATAATTGGAGAATATCATGAACATGTATATATTAATATCATTATTTTTGCAGCCAGTCAGGCAAGGGATTTGTTATCCAAAATGCTAGTAATAGATGCATCCAAAAGGATCTCAGTAGATGAAGCTCTCCAGCACCCATACATCAACGTCTGGTATGACCCTTCGGAAGCAGAAGCTGTAAGTTCTTAATGTTTGAAGAACATATTGTATTCTTAGAGCTATAGTTAAAATTAAGTTTGAAAGAGAACTTGTCATTTTAAATAAAAGTATAGATGATGTTAATGTTTTCCTAGTTTTGCATGAAGAAAACCTTAGGTTAGGCGCATATTTAAGCCATCACAGAGTCAGGTAGCATCCCACTGTTTCTTATTCTGTTGAATTGATAGTTAATTAGAGAGGAGCTAGAACGTCTGTGGGAGCAGCGTTAGTTAAAACGAATATTTTATCCAAAGAAGAGCAGAATTCTGTAATACAGGTAAGATGTGACAATTTCAAAAGTTGGAAGGAAAGAAAAATACATCTTATTTCTTACAAAGGAATCTTACAGAACTACCATCTGGAAAGTTAAAGTTACTGATGATTGATTGGTCTTTGCCTCATGATTCACTTTTACAAGTCTTATGTCTGACTGATATTTCAAATAATTAATAGTATATATACTTCCAGTAAACTGACCCAGTTGTTACTGCCTTGTGTCTTTCAGCCACCACCAAAGATCCCTGACAAGCAGTTAGATGAGAGGGAGCACACAATAGAAGAGTGGAAAGGTAACGCTCAACAGACTCCAAGACCCTGAAGCACCTTCTGCTTCTTTGAGGGACTTCTCATGTTAAGGAAATTAATGTTGCTCTTGGTTTTCATAACTTATATTTGATCATAAGTTTTTGTGTGTGTGTTTTACTAAAGTAGAAAGACAATTTCCTTCCTTCTTTAATTTCTGAAATTCTCCATCTCAGTCATAGGCACATTAGTGTTTTCCCCTTTGTTTCTACAACCACGTTTGGGGTGTCCTAGCTCTAAAACCACCAGTGGTTGGGTTCTGTACACACTTGCTTATTGATGTCCCCATACTCTCTTGGTCCGCACAGCTACCTGCAGGGTTTAATAGCTAGTAAGTGGTAAGCCGTAGGGAAGTTGGTCTCTCAGTTTGTGAGACACACTGAAGGTAGACCTTCACTGTCACAGTCTGCTGCTGTTACCATGTGTTTATGTGCACGTATTGGAATATAGGAGAGAACAGCACAGTTCAAAAAGGAGATGTGTTAGACCAAGTGTTGTTTTAGGTACTTCCTGTTTTTTGTTGTTGTTGTTGTTTTCATCAAAGAAACTAGTTTCTGCTTCTATCCACATGATACAGGGTATCAGTCCACTCCCACTCTAACCAGTAGAATGGCTTAATTCATCATCTTTGAACATTAGATCTAGTTTTTTTCCTATTTTATGAATGTGATTATATATAGATAAGCTTTTTCTTTTATTATTTTAGAGTACAGAGTAACAGGTTTCAATATATTTTCAGATATGTGTGTCATTCTATTGTTCATAGTAACCGCCTTTTACCCCTCATGCTCTCCCTTACCCTCTCACTTGTCCCTTTTCTCACCCTCATTGGCCCTTTTATGTCGTATATATTTATATTGTCAAATCCAGGTTCTATAGGAAGAAATGTGCAATATTTATCTTTCTGAGTCAAGTTTACTTAACAGGATACTCTCTGGTTCTGTCTGTTTTCCTGCAAATGGCATCATTTCATTCTACTTTATGACTGACTAAAATTACCTTGCATAGATACACACCACATCTTGTTTTTTTGTTTGTTTGTTGAGACAGGATCTCACTATATAGTTCTGGTTGGCCTGAAACTCACTCTGTAGTCCAGACTGACCTAGAACTCATCAAGAACTGCCTGCCTCTGGAGTGCTGGGATTAAAGCCATGTACCACCACACCTTGTCTCACTTCGTTTTCTTTATTCAGTCTTCTGTTGATGGGCATCTAGGCTAATAGCATATATTACTGCTGTGAATAGTATCTCAGTAACAGTGGGTATGCAGGTATCTGTTATATTCTGCCTTAGATTCCTTTAATGGAATTCTGTTTTTTAAAAGTTTTGAGGAACCTGTAATAATTTCTGTAGTGACTATTCTAATTTCTATTTCCACTGATATGTACATGAAAGTTCCTTTTTAACCACATTTTTGCCAGCATTTGTTGCCATTGGTTTTCTTGATGGATGGTAGCCATTCTGATTGACGTTGGATAGAATCTTGGTACTGTTTTTGTATGTACCTGATAGCTTGGAATGTTGATTTTTTTTTTTTTATTTTGTCCATTTGTATTTCTTTTGAGAATTTCCTGTTCAGTTGAAAAAGAATTTTCCCATTTATTGGTTAGGCTATTAATTGATTGAGTATTCAACTTCTCGATGATGCTTTTGATGGTTGTGAGAATGTTGAAATAAAAATATGTCTGTGGCCCAGACTGACATCAGACTTGTGATCTCCCTGCCTCAGTCTCCCAAGTACTAGAATGTGTCACCATGCCTGGCCTCCAGCAAGGGATTCTTTATAAAAGGCTTGAATTTCAGGAATTAATACAAATTCTTTGGAATTCTTTACATTTTTGGTTTGTACATTTTTTTTTAAATATTTATTTATTTATTATGTATACAGCATGTATCCCTGCAGGCCAGAAGAGGGCACCAGATCTCATTACAGATGGTTGTGAGCCACCATGTGGTTGCTGGGAATTGAACTCAGGACCTCTGGAAGAGCAGTCAGTGCTCTTAACCTCTGAGCCATTTCTCCAGCCCTGGTTTGTACATTTTTTAAGGAATTACTTTTATGTACTTTTTCAAAGAGTGCATGACCCAAAGGTGACAAAATAATGGCAATGGACAAGTCAGAATCATGTAGAAGAGTAGGCTGTAGGTACATACTGCACCCTGTGCCTTTCCTCCGTCAACGCTGTCTTTGTAGTGATCTGCTGCCGCCCCTACTCAGGGATACAAGAGTCCTGGGAAGGGGTGTTGGTGCCAATGTCTTTTGAAGGCTAATTGGAAGGAGCTGAAGCTGTTGCTGCTTTTCCTTCAATAGAAGTATCTTTCTGTCCCGTTCTAACCGTAAACCCTGCTTTGGTTATAAATCTGTGTAACTACAACCTTGTTGCATAAGGCCAAGACTCAAAAAGTAGAAGGAAGATAAGCAAAGACCCCAGCCTTTAGACAAAACTAGACAAGCCTCTGTAAGGCAGAGTGCTGTATGGGTGATACCCGAAAGCAGGTGCTGGCTTCTGGCAGCAGCTGCCTGATAACCAACTCAAACAGTTACAGTGGAGAGTTCTGCTTTCTTTCAGTGTAGTCTGTGGTTGAAGGTCAGGGAATTGTTAGCATCTGTGAGTCAGAACTTGACACTCACTTGATCTGCTGTCATTGCAAGGACCCAGCTTGATGTACTTAACGGATACATAAAATGTACATATCTTCTGAGGTTCACTCTGATTTCAAAAATTTTACTTTCCTCCTCTTTTTCAGAACTGATATACAAGGAGGTGATGGACTTGGAGGAGCGAACCAAGAATGGAGTCATAAGAGGACAGCCATCTCCTTTAGGTTGGTTACAATATAAACCTGTTGTGGTTGTGGTTGCGGTTTACATCTTGTGTTACAGTCTTCAGTGGCCTGGGACCTGCAGTTCTCCCCATGCTCACTCAGTTTGATAATTCAGTTTGAAAACACTGACACACTGTTGTCTCGATATGTTTGTGGTCGTCTCTGTCGTACTGATTTAAACCCTGTTTCTTCAGCACTGCTGCCGTGTCTTTAAAGAATTCTCTTAAAATTCACTATGCTTTGATTTGAACGGTCTTCAATTAGAATAAAAAAAGCTTCACTACAAAATTTGTTGTGTGTACTATCAAGTACTGGTGTTCTTTTCAGTACTTTTGTCACATTTGGAAACAAGCTTTTGGTAGACTCCTTGTATCTGAGTGTTCTGGTCATCATTCTGCAGAATTGGGACCATTTTGGGACTCTGAACTCTAGTCACTGTTTTTTCTCTGTAAATGTGTTCTTAAGAACTCTTATGTACTTCTAAATGACCCTTCTTTAGTAAACTTGTGACTTGAAAACTGCTACCTATTGTTGAGTTGCTTTAACATACTCCTACCCCAGGATGAGGCCTACCCCTTGAAAGGATTTCTGTCTGTGGGGAAGGTACTCCTGTTTATTTGGGGAGAAAGGTGGTTTTTTAATGCAGCAAATGCTTGCTAGATACTACTCTTAGAGAAGAACATTTACTCCTGTCTCTGTTTAGTAAGTCTGTGTATGTCTTTGCCTGGTGTTTACTAGAATCAAAGAAAGACTTGAATTTACCTAACTGTGCTGTTTCAGTTACCCTGGAAAATCACACAATCTCATAGCCTGGGACAGTTGATTAAGGTGCCTCCTAATCAAAATGTTATTCTTTTGTGTTGGCTTCTGCTTTGCAAGATGTATCAGAAGTATTATTTTGACATTGTGGGTTTTTGTTGTTGTTGTTTGTTTGTTTTTTTTTTTTTTGAGAGTATCAAAACTAATACTTTCTATACTATACTAGTTCTCAAACCTTTTTTTCAGTCCCTTGGTTCTTTGAGATCTTCTCTCCAACAAAATGTAGATACACCCTGAGCACATTCATGGATCTTGCTCTATGTCAGTTCTCCATGTTACTTGGACTTCTGATTTCTGTCTTTAGCAATGCAGTAGAAAGGACAGGAGTATAGGTTTCTCGACATTTTAACAATTCTTCCCTCCTAGCTGTGTTAAGAGAGAGAGCATTAGTGTTAGGCTCAGTACGGTTCAGCACCCCGTAAGCCCAGGAGCAGTCTGTGGACCCTGGAGGTAGGCAGCGCAGTAACTGATGTGCTGTTTTGTTTCTCATAGCACAGGTGCAGCAGTGATCAGCGGCTCTCAGCACCCGTCGTCTTCGCCATCTGTCAATGAGGTGTCTTCCATGTCCACAGATCCGACTCTGGCCTCGGATACAGACAGCAGTCTCGAAGCATCAGCTGGACCTCTGGGCTGCTGTAGATGACTACTTGGGCCTTGGGGGGGTGGGAGGGATGGGGAATTGGTTAGTCATTGATAGAACTGCTTTAAAAACAATTCAGTGGTCATATTTTTGAGTGATTTTTCAGAAAATGTAGAATTCATTTTGTAGTAAAGTAGTTTATTTTTTTTAATTTCAAGTGTTGTAATTTAAAACCTAAGTTGTGTTTTTAAACAGCAACAAAACTGTATTGTATTTTTGCTGTAATTAACTGTATAATGTAAACCTAATTATTTTATCATGGTTTAAATTTTTTGCATATTTGCTTTATCTTATGCTGCTGATTTTTTTTACTGAATTTGTAAGATTTTGTTTATCAAAGCAACTATTATGTGGTGACTTGCATATATCATGAATTATTTAAGATGTTTATAAGTTTTTTATTAGAATTTATTTCAGATGTTTGTTCATGATGCTATCCTTAAGGGTTATGTGCTTATCAATGAAATAACCCCAGAGGAGTAAGGGAAAATAACCTGTAGCCAGTTATATTCAGGAATAACTACTGTAAATGATGAACGTGTCAGGAAACCTCCACTGTTTGCTACTGGCCAATCCCAGTTTAGTTACAACAATTAGTAGGCAACCTTACCTAAATTTTGGCAAATGCCCTGCCATCTAGATAGTGGAATAACTCAGAGCATGTCTTTAAAGATGCTGAGCACATCCTTCTACCTTTCGGAGCTCCCCACCCCAACCCAACAGAAACTCAAATCAAGAAATGTGGTGTATTCTGAACATTGTGGCATGTTCAAAGCCTTTGATCGTATACAGTCAAGAGGATACTTCATGAATATACATTTCAATGCAAATCAACAGATGGTTCCCTTGTACTAGCTATGAGCCTGCTTCTGTATACACTGAGTTAATCTCAGGCTATAGGTCCTGGCATTGGTCAAGAGTCTGGACTTCCCTTTTATACAGCTTCTGGCCTCTGGACCTTTCCCAGTTCCTGTTCCTTGGAGGGTCAATCTGTTGAGCACCAGTTTGTGGTGTTTCTGGCCATTTTGATTCTACCTGTAGCATAATCCTATTTTTACTAGCTGTCAGGAGGTTCCAAAGCCTACTTAAATTTGTGTAGGTGATGTTTAAATGAGCAATATACCGTTCATCTGAAAATAGTAGCACACAGCCATATGTAGGATGTCATTTTCTAAGGACTGTTTCTTCACAGTGAGCAGAGCAGGCATAGTGGTGGTTCTTTAGTCTGAGTCTTTGATTTTTTTATACCTGATTTCAAATATAATACGCAGTGTGGACATTGAGTAGTGTAAGAATGGTGCTGCTCCTGACAAGTGTGTGTTAACTGTTTACATTTTATATCTACAGAATCCTTTCTCTGTAACTGAATTTTTCCTAAGTAAAATGTCATCAAGGTCTCATTATTTCTGAAATGATGTCTGTAATGCCCAGGCACCTTTGGTATTGTCTGGAACAAGAGGGATTTCATGTAATGAACTGGGAAATGCATACTTCGTGAGCTGCGTGGTTGTAGAGAGAAGCCCCCTTGGAGCTCACAGCCAACAGGAGTAAGAACAGGCACAGCTCAGCAAATTTCTGAAAGTTTGCTTAGCCTTTTTTTTTTTTTCCCCCTGTATATTTAGTGTAGAATTACTTTCAAGTAAGGTATTTTTGGTCATTGTTAATGTGCAATACTTAAGATTAAGATACATTAACCTTTTTTTTGATACTTTGAAATAGAGCAAGTTAGTTAATCATGATTTCTAGTCTCCTACCTTTTAGCGATTCCTTTTCTCTACATGTAACATGGTGCATTAATTTTATTAGGCAAGTATGAATTTGAGACTGTTATGCCTCTTGGGCTGTAGAAGTCGAAGATTGGAGTCAGGATTTTAGCAGAAATTGGAGCATGAGTGTTCTTATTTTATATTAGTTTTACAGCTAACTCATTTTGTTTTCCCTAGGATAAATGTGTCACTATTGCACTTTAACAGCTGACATGCTTCATTAGTTCTCTGTAGTTTATATTTGATTGCTGAGAAGCCGTCTTTCTTGATGCAGATTTTGGTTAAGTAAGAAATAACAGTTGTTCTGATTGTACATTTGTTGTAATTGCCAGCTCCCACTTGCCAGCCATCATGTTTCAGTTGAATTAAAAGAAAACAAGCTTTCAATGCTTAATGTAAACTAAAATACTTAACAAAATTATACCCTGAAAGTAAGGTCTGTTTGTTAAATGTGTGTGCCCCAGCTTTTTAAGATCCATTGTTTACACAACTCCCCCTCTTTGTTTAAACCTGTTAACATAAATCATATTGGTACTTTTAGAGTCTTAAAGCATCTTAAGTATTTTTTTAAGAACTTACAAATAACATTTCCGTCTAGCAGTACTTGTTAAGCCACCCTATAATTTGACTTTTCAATTATATATGCTTAAGCTTGTTGTCTTACTGTCCAAAAGTTGTTTAACTGAGAATTAGCATTCAACTTCATAGGTTAGGAAAGAGACACTGCTTCTTCCTACATGTCTTCCTGGTTACAGTTCTCTTACCCCAAGATATATTGACCATCTGTAAGATGACCATGTTGTTGGGATTGCTTGTTATAAATAGAGCATCTCAACTCTTGTGCTATCTGCTAAGCGGTTTTTATTGTGTCATGCCATGCTGCTGATTGCCAACTCAGAAGAGTGCACACCAGGAGCAAAGCCCAGTGCGTTCACACCCCCATTTGTAAGAGAATTCGTAGTCCCTACCAGTACAGAGAAGCTTGATTGTGTCCAAAGCAGCAGCTTGCCTGTCAGCCTGTAACTCTCTGTTACCCCAAGACATGGAGGCAAAGAGGTCTACTGACAAAATGAGCAGTAGGCAAGTGAAGCTGTTTCCAGAGTTACAAATAGAACTTGGTTTACACTGTTGGCCAGTTTCTGCCACACACATGAAAACAACCATCAGTGTTGCCTAGGCACTAGCCTGCAGAGCATTTTGAGATTTAAAAACATAGTATATTTTCAGAAATACTGTTGTAGTTTGTGAGTGTTGCTCATTAGTCACACACTAGCTGTAGAATGGATGCATGATGCCCCATGCCCCCAGTAATTCTTCCCAGTGAGTAGCAGACCCAGCACCATCTCCTCCATAGCCCTCTTCAGCATTGCCTCCATGCCTGTTCATTTAGTGTGCATCGTGTTTCTACTGATCTCTTAGGTGTTTCCTGGACCACAGGAAACAAATTTGTCTTAATAGCACGACAGATGGAAGAGATAAAGGGCACTGAAGCAGAAATGTGTAGTTGGGGTAAGATAGGAAAACTTGTGTCCTAATTAATTTCAAAGTAACTGCTCTTAGTCAAAGTGCTCTTAAGGGGAGTCTAGTAAGAGTAACCTTCTGGGCATTTCTCGTTTAGATTCTCTTTGTTACAAAACTTCTGAGAAATAGTACCTGTGGATTAGGTTTGCACAATGTCCTATTCTCACAATGACTTCAAATTAAACTAGGTTTTTATTGAACTACCTCACACTGATTTTCTATGCTTTCCCAAGTAAGCTGTTGCCCTTAATGTTAGATCTTTACTGAGTGTAGATTATAAATGTGTGTTGGATACGTTATAGCCACTGTTGACAAAATACCAGTATGTGAAGTGCGTACCTTGCATCAGTACGAGACAGTCCCGTGTAGTCTTCCACTGTGTCTGGGGAATTGTGCTAGATGTGCTTACTGACATCATCACTGTCTTTTGTAAGAAACCTGCTCAAGATATCAGTCCACGCTTTACATTTTACAAAAGGAGTAAATCTTAGTAAATTTTACGAAGAAATAAATTACTTTTGTAGGCCCAATATTTGGTATATTTTTGAGAAGCTGTTAATCTTATAGCCGAATGAAGTTAAACTGAAGTAGCTGTCTGCCCGGACTATGACATCTATTTTCTCATTACAGTTTATCCTGTTAATAAGGTTTTAAACCTGAAGACCTAAGGATGATTATTAGAATTTTTTCTCTCTTCCTGTACATGTCATTCCTTCTTCGTCCCTCCCCTTCCCTGTGTTTGTTTTCCTCTCCCTCTCTAGACAAAACAGAATGGGGCACTTTGTAGGGAATGCTGAGATCATTATTGTGGTTTACTTGTTCATGCCCTAGTCATTACATGCACCACTGGATGTAAACAGTGTTATCTAGTATGTCAATTGGTTATAATATTTTAAATAAAAAAGAAAAGTGGTATGAAAGTAAGAGTTTTTCATTGAAAGCAAAACAAATTTGTGGTTTTTCCAGGTGGTTTTAGGGTTTCCTGTGGATTGAGGTAAGGTTATTAGTAGGGCAGGTGACTTAGGTTTGGATTGTACACACATTATCCTGGTTATCACTGCTGGTGTATGACTTGATCTAGGTTTGCTGTTCTTGTGTTTGAAATCACTAGAGGAACTTTAAGAAAGGAACTTGTTCCAGTGCCCTTGATCTAGTAACTGCATAAAACAGCAGCCATTGTGACCACTTGGCAAAAATCAGTATCATCTGAGTCTGTCAAAGCAAGCAGGAGATTTGAACTTGGAGCCGGTTGTGTCTGTTCTGTGCACAGGGTCTCATCACTGCTGATGGGTGAGCTGCTGTAGGTGGACAGGCTCTCTCCCTGAGTGCTAACCCAGCCTGTAGAATGGCATTCCTCCATCTTGTCTGGCTGCTGTCCGCACACACAGCCTTTGTATCCATGCCATCCTCCGCTGCCTTTGCACACACCTCTGAAGACACTGCTGTTTGACACCTGCTGCCTTGCAGCCGTGAAATGACTAGCTGGTGCGTGCTGTCCTGTTACTGTGGTTAGGTAGAGGGGCAGAGGAGCAGAAATTGACATCAGAATGTTAACGAAGCTTGTTTTTAGTTGAGTGATCAGGATTTCCACCCAGTCAATAAAATGTAGTTCTTTGTTTGGCTGATACAGGTATTGCATATTTTAAAGTATTGTTTTAAAAATCAGTCAGACATATCTAAGTGGGGATGATTTACTTGTACTGATTTTGTGGTTAAAATGTTTTACATATTTAAGGTTATATTACCAGTATTTGAACTTCATTTGAAAATAAGGTACTTCAAATATGCTTTGAAAATGTTAAGTGTCCAACACAAGTTTTATTTGACCAATTATTGAAAACATGCTGTTGAGGGGCTGGAGAGATGGCTCAGCAGTTAAGAGCACTGGCTGTTCTTCCAGAGGTCCTGAGTTCAATTTCCCACAACCATCTATGATGAAATCTGGTGCCCTCTTCTGGCATGCAGGCGTACATGCAGGCAGAACATAGAGAACACTATACATAAAAATAAACATGATGTTGAGACACCACTGGAAGCTGGAATGAGAGGAGTCAGAGAAAATGTGTGGAGAACAAATACTGTACTGATATGTGCTGATGGGAACAGAAGGTTCTGATGAGAGGAAAGGAGTGTTGTGCAAAGGAGGTGGGCCTTTCTCTGAAATGACTTGGAGACGAAGGGTGTTCGTAGGTTTAAAAATAAGTGCCTGGGTGGGAATGAGAGTTGATGGGTAAGACTAAGGTGTACAAAGATAGTAAGGCTGGAAAGTTGAGGTTCAGAATTGGAACACAGAACAACAGTAGGACTTGGCTTTCATTCTCTATAATCAGAACCCATTGCAGAATGTGAGATGAGACATTTATCTTAGGGTCATTGTGAGGACAGATCCTCGGCTGGAGATGTGAACATGGGCCTGGAAGCCAGATACCTTGTTGAGAGAGCAGTGAGGTAGAAAAGAGAGCTCACTCACTTAAGCATGTTGCCAAACTTAGCATGGGGAGCTGAGGGATGCTTTGAGCCCTGTACTGCTTGGGGAACATTCATTACAGTGGGCCTATACCCAGTGCATCTTAGAACTTGTACCTCCCCCTGTTTACAGGTCTGTGACAGAGGGCATGGCAGGTAGTGTCGGCGCTCTTTGTCTTAGGAAGGGGACAGTTGATTTGTACCCTAGCTGTCTCTGGGTATCTCCAATTATGTGTTTTCCTACATGAGGCCTGTGACATCTATGTATTCCAGCTCCAGTTTGTATCACTTGGTGGACAGTGGGAAAGGGAGATGCCTAGTGAGTAACATGCACGAGAACACCCAAGTTATCTGGAAGAGAGGCATGGTTATGATTGCTAAGGATGCTGCACCAACTGGATGGTGAAAAGCACTTATAAAAATGGGCCAGGAAATGCAAAGAGTCTTGTAGATCAAAATAGACTGAAAGGGAGAAGCCAAAACGTATGTGCTCCTTGGCAAAACAAAGTCTTAGCAAGGGGGTGATCTGAGTCCTGGGGGCCTGGCATGAAGAGGGAAAGTTGAGATGCCCTCTGAGGGACAGTTCTCGGTGGCACTGAAATGTGCTGTGCTTGTGCATCTGTCACCTGATAATGGTGTGCTCTCAAGGTGTCCTCTGTTCGTGTGTACTTTCCTGAAAGGCACTGTAAACCAATGTAACCTGCAAAGAAACGTAAGTGGTGTGGTAGAGAAATGCTGACCTGAAAGGAAAGCATTTTGTGTGGTCTCACTTCAGAAGAACTGCATGCCAAACCCTGAGCTGCCTGCTCCAGGCCCCACAGCCCCAAACATCATGTGGCTGGTAAGATTTCCTTGAGAGACATGCTGCAAGATCAACCTTGAGTTTTCGTGAAGAATGGGAGCATGCTGTGTTCTGGTGCTTTCTTCTCTCATTCCCATCTGGTCCTGTCTGTCAGCTAAACCACCCCATTGGATATACTCTATTGTATCCTGTGTGTCTGCCCTGCATCCCCACACTTGCCCAGAGGCAGTCATTCTGCCCCTGTGAGCCTCTTGATTATCACCTCCTGTGGAGATCTGCCCTCCAGGAATGGTGTGGCTATTGCCATCTTCATCACAACTGTAACCCAAGATTCTCAAAAAGGATGTCATTCCCTTTGGAGGATGGTTGCTGGGGGTGGGGAGCCAGGACTTCTCCAGTTGGGTAGCTGCCTCTAAGTTGCCTGTGGTCCTGTAAGACTTGGGTGAAGTTAATTCTTTGATCTGGAGGTGCCCTATGTGGGATAAGTGGGTGTCTGTTCATGTCTCCCCAGGAAGTCATGCAATATAATTACATAATTCTTGCTCACTTTACAAAAAACTGTGTGTGTGCACATGGGCGTGTGTGTGTGTGTGTGTGTGTGTGTGTGTGTGTGTGTGTGTGTGTGTGTGTGTGTGTGTGGTCAGAGGACAACCTTCAGGAGCCAGTTCTTCCACCTTGCAAAACAGGATCTCTTGTTTCTGAGCCTGTGCTGCATGCCCCAAGCTAGCTGGCTTGCGAGCTCCAGGGCAATTCCCTAGTCTGCCTCCCATCTCACTGTAAGCATGCTTGGGTTACAGCTGGTAGCTACCACATCTGCATGTTTTGCCCTCATGCTTGCTCGCTTTGTTCTCACTTCTGCACAGATGACTGAGTGAAGCAGCATGTTCATCTGATATTTGATACTATCCCATGCTCTGCTACTGATTGCTTGCCCCACAATTCCCTGGGTGGGGAGAGCCTGGCCACAGATAACAGTGTTGGATGTAGATACTTAACATGCAAGTGCTCTGTAAGTCCATGACAGACTTCTGACAATGCAGTGTTCATAGTCCTCAACATGGGGCTCAAGACAGTGCATACAAAGTGAAATTATTGCAGTAATGGGAGTGTAGTACATCCAAAATTTGGATCCTGGCCTCTAGTCATAGTATATGGCTTTTCTCCCTCCGTGGTGTTCATTGTTTTCTCATAAAATAGGGAGGCAGAAGTCATTGTGAAGACTCAACATCCACACAGGTGGAGCACCCTTGGAATATAGTTGGCCTTTGTCACTTTCAGCTAGAGGTACAGTCTGTAGAGGTCCTTGCAGTTTAATCATGGTCACTCTTGTTTGAACAGCAGCCAGGTCTTAAGATAAATACACCCCAAAAGAATCTGATATGCAGCAAATGCTGCTTCCCTCTGGTGTAATGTGCTGGGAAGAAATTCTAACACCTGGGACTAGCCCTCACAGTGCAGCAGAGCCAGTAGACTAGGCATCCCCAAGCCCCGACATGGCTTGGATCCTGCCCCTTGTTTCTCTTTAACACTGGGCCAGCAGACACCAGAAATGAACCAATGAAAGGGAATAGGGTGCTGACGGGGAAACCTCAGCTCTGCAGGGCAGCTTACGGTTGCAGCTGGCCTGCGGTGGGGCCAGGGTTATGATTTACAACTTCAGGGTTGGCAGGGCTGGGCTCTGACCTTTCACTTCTGACTCCAAAATGGAGCTCCTAGTTGTCTGGAGACAGAGGTGTGTCAGATGCCATCACAGACATTGATCTGCCCTAGAGCAGCAGCTCCCAGCTGCCAGTTGGGTAAACCCGCTGAGGTCAGGCCCTGCTCTGAGCAGACCTTTTGTCTGAGAAGGTACGAGTGTTTCCTCTCCACAGGATGCTGAGGTAAGTGCCTCCCTCCTTTCCCAGGTCCCCAGAGACGCCATGTGCGTTCCCCCTGCCTGTCTTCTGGCTCCTGTGTCTTCTCAGGCCAACTTCTCCATTCTACCAGTGCTGACTCCCCTTAAGGTCTGTCTCACCCCTGCTGTTTTCATGTCAGCAGTGTGCCACCAGTCTGATAATTCCTGCCTTTAAAAGCCTCCCTTCTCTGCACCACCCATACCAGGTTGTAGAAGGATGTGATGGCACTTTTCCCCTGTTTTCCTCCCCTTCAGCTTTCTGCCAGCCTTCCAGGATCAGATGTCCTTGACTAGTGTACCTGCATCCACTAGTGTCCACCCTGCAGTGATCAAAGTGCAGGCCTTGTTTAAATGCAAGCCAGTTCATGTCAGTGGAGTGAATGCTTGCTTGCTCCTTCCATCTGGCCCCAGCAGGTCTACCCACCACCAAGTGTATTCTTCTCTTCTACCTGCCCTGGTCATCTCTGTATCACTGTGGTGAAATACCCTAGATAATTATACAGAGAAAATACTTGTTTAGGCTTCTTGTTTGGGGAAAGGGGGTTCAGCCCTGAGTGGTTAGCTAGGATGCTTTGGTTCCTATGTCAAGGCATCATAGTAAAGTACATGGTGAAGAAATTTACTCCATGGGCAAAGAAAGGAGAAGGGACTGGAGGCCCCACATCCCCTTCAAGGGTGCATGGCCTTCGGGAATAGTTGGTATCCAAACTATCAAACCATCCCAAAGCTCTTCTTGCTCAGAGGCACAAGCACTCCTTCCCAGATGTTCCTCCTACATGCCTGTGCCCATCTTTGCAATCTCAGTTCACATGTCATCTTGGAGGGACTTCCTGGCCAGCCCGTCCCAGGTCTCCTGCTCAGAGCATATGCTAATCAGATGAGTTTTGTGTTCTCTGTGCTTCCTTACGATCTCATGTATAACCTATCAGAGCTTGCAAACTACTTTCAAGCCAGCATCTTCTCCACGTGGACCAGAAGGAGGGATGCAGGCTGAGATCAGCTTCCGACTTTTAACTCCACTGCCTGTGTGTGGTTAGAGTCATGTCCTTAACTTCCCAGTGCTCCCCCTTCCTCAGTGAAGGTTTATATTATTTGCATCCCTTAAGAGCAAATAAGTGTGTGTGAGATGCTGGGATCTGCCAGTATGGCCACCCTCTGTAATATCATCGTCCTTTAAAGCCTGAAGAACTAAGATCAGAGTACAGTGTCCCCACTGTCCCAGCAGTGGGTGGGACAAGCCCAGACTTGGAGCTGCTAAAGATTTCTGTGGCTGTATCTTTATCACAGACCACAACATGTCCTGATGGCATGCATGGTTCAACTGTTACAGGCCTGGCTGGAAAGCCTGGGACTCCTGGGACAGGGTGGGCACAGGGGCAGGTGGCAGTGGTAGCTGAGGCCGTAAAACACGCCTCCATTCCCGAATCTTACTGTACAGAGTGAAAGGTCAGTCCTGGCTCATTCTTCATTAGAATTGTAGTCTTAGAAGAAAAAAACAAAACTGTCCTGTTTTTCTTTCCTGGGTGGGGGTGCTGGGCATGAAGCCCACTTGTCAAACTTAATATGTAAGCCAATTTTTTACTTTTTCATGTAAAGTTTCTAGTTTCCTGTTTCTCCCTCCATGAACATCAGGCCTTATACCTGCTAGGCAAGCACTCCACCCCTGGAGTGGTTCCACAGCCCCTACAATTTTCAGTATTCTCTTTAAAGGCAAACCCAATTTTTACCTTTGTGTCTGTGCATGTGCACGTGCATGTAAGCACATGTGCATACATGTTACATACATGTGTAAGTGTATATGCATCAGAGGACAACCTGCAGAAGTTGGCTGTTGCTTCTACCATGTGAATCCAGGATACTGAACTCAGACCTGACAGGCTTGGTGGTGAGCACCTCTACCCACTGAGGCATCACACAGGCCCCAAACTCATCTTTTTAAAAATATTTTATTTTTTAATTTTATGTCTGTTTTGGCTGCATATATGTAAGTGTCCTGTGTGTGTGTAGTGCCGGAGGCCAGAGCAGAGGACAGATCCCATGGAACTGGAGTTACAGACCACTGTGAGCCACCTGTAGGTGCTGGGAACCAAACCCTGGTCCTCTGGAAGAGCAATAAGTGCTCCTAACCAATGAGCCATCTCTCTAGCCCCCAACCAAATTTTAAAATGTCTGAAGTAACCTGTGAACAGAACCCTAATTTATCTTTAACCAGTTCTTACTTCACAATGATTCATCCCTGCTTAACTTGGTGATGTTTTTAGCAATAGCCTCTGCTCACTCTTCAGAGAACTTCACCAGATTAAAAAAAAAAAAAACAAAACAACCCATCCCCCACCTGCTCATGTTCATAATTCATTTTTGACTTAATATTAAGTGAGGTTATTCTTGTATAAGTATGGCTGGAACCTTTAGGCTTGGAACAGTTTGTGTAAACATAACCTAATGGGAAGGGAAGAAAGGGATGAGAGGTTCCAGGACGAAGAACCCGCTATGGATGAGCCTCAGGTGCTCAGTGCTTTACACACAGAAGTCAGATGTCTAGACAGGTGGAGAGCGTGCTTTACACAGCTGAGAGCGGGCCATTGAGTTTTCGGAAAGGTCCTACGTGCCTAGATCTGTTTGGCCAGCAGGTGGCAGCCTTGGCTTGTGAACTGTTGGCTGGTGGGCAGCTGGCCCTCCTGACACTTTGATCCTGGAAGCTCCTTTGATGAGCTGGTGGCATTTTCGCTTCAGGTGAACTCAGCAGATTTCTACAGCTGTGGTGAGGGAACACAGCAGGATCACGGGAATGCACGGGTGGTCCCACCTAACTTCTCCCAGGCTGTGTCCCCTCCCATGGAGGAGATAAGGACCAGTCTCTATATTGTCATGTGGGAGGTTCTGAGGAATCAAAGTCACTTTAGTTTTCCTTCTCCGAATACAGGAGAGGGTGGTGGTCTTCCTTTGGGCAAGGAATGCCGGCTGGCTGCAGCAGCACACCTTAGCACAGACTAACATCTCCATTGGCCCCTTAGCATTCCCAGGGACACTCTGACCCTGACCTCGGAAGCTGGGAGGGTCCTTGGCAGGCATCCCAGTTGTAGAAATCTCCAGTCAGTTTCCTAAGGACAGTCAGAGGTCAGATGTCAGTCTACTTTACCACTAAGGGTAGGAGCATATGGCCTTGTATTAGTAGCCAGTGCTACCTGGTAGCATTGCGATCCTGGCCATTCTCCTGCCTGGGGAGGATACATTCTCAGACATGATACCTGAGACCAAGCAGGTAGACATTAGAGGCTTAATGACCTTTCCATATGGTAATCAGAAACTGGGCTACTTTCATGACCTCTTTAGTCCCCCACGCTCTACACATCCCACTCACACACCCACGGCTTAAGTGGGAAGTAAGAGGCTACACATGTAGACACCGAGAAGAAGAAGCAATGGCTGTGTATGAGGCCAGTCCTCTCCCAGCCAGGCCTGTGTGATGATCAGTTTTTATTGTCTGCTTGACTGGATTTAGAAACATAGGAGACAGACCTCTGGGCATTTCTAGAATGTTTCTAGAGGAAGGAAGACCCATGGGCTAGTGGATATGTGACCAGCTGTCTCAGGTTCCCATTGCTCCAGCTAGATCAGTTCTCAGGCCACACCAGTTGAGGGCCTTCCTAAATTGTTTCTGTATTTTGTTGCAGCTACCAGAATTCGTCTGAGCTGCCTGTAGGCTGGGGGTGGGGTAGCGGGGGGACACGAGGTCTGAGGATGTCTAGAGGAGTGCGTAGATATGGAAATTATGTGGCCAGTCTCACTCCCTGATCTGGAAGGTGGGCCAGGCCCAATATAAAGTGAGAGACACCTAGAGGACCCACCAGCTCTGCTCTCCTGCAGGCCCAGCCCTCTGGAGCAGAGCTGAACCCCTGCAGAGGAAAGCAGCCTACAGAGGGCAGCCCAGGGGACCTTGCAGGGCAAGAAGTAGCCACAAAGGCTCTGAGGTGGGAGAGCTGAAAGAGTGCTTCCCCGACCACAGTGTTGGGACCCTCAGGGAGCTCCACCGGGGGACACCCAACCTTTCACTGGGTAAACTCCACTTGGCACAGACGTGAAGAATGAGGCTGGTGACAGGCACCATGCTTTCAGAGCACATTTAATAAGGAGTGAAGTTCTTGGCGGTGGCCCTGCCCTTAGGTGCCGTCCTTATGGATGGCCATTGGGGATTTTTCCTGGATGAGGGGCTAATGCTCATCTTGGCACTGTCCCCTCTGACACCTTCTGGGACCCAGAGTTTTATGAAGCATCCAGATCCTGCCTGGACTATGTGGGGTCCTGACAGTCCCTGTGGGCTGTTGGGCTCTTTCTATCTGGCGCTTGAGGGCAGATGGCCCTGCTGGTGGCCTGGCCCAAACTTGAAGCTTCTGGCTTCCTCTGCAGCCTGTGCCAGCCCTGCAGGGAGAGTGAGCGGACATATACAGACATGTATTTCTGCTCCCTTCACTCAGGGGCTCTGGCCCCTTTGGTCCCAACAGTCAAGCTTCCCAGGGTGGCAAAGAACTCCTCCATCTCCTTCTGCAGCAGCTGGTTCCTGCGCTCCGCGTCCTCACGCGCCCGCTCTGAGTTCCGCAGCTTTATCTCCAGCATGGCGTACTTCTTCTTCTCCTGGTCCAGCTCCTCTTCCAGACGAGACATCTGCTTCCGCAAGTCAGCACTGCCCTCTTCGATGCTGAAAAATCAGGAAGAGGGAATATCAGACTCCAGCTGTAGGGACGCTGTCACAGACTCCAGCTACAGGGATGCTGTCACAGACTCCAGCTACAGGGACGCTGTCACAGACTCCAGCTACAGGGACACTGTCACAGACTCCAGCTGTAGGGACACTGTCACAGACTCCAGCTACAGGGACGCTGTCACAGACTCCAGCTGTAGGGACGCTGTCACAGACTCCAGCTACAGGGACGCTGTCACAGACTCCAACTACAGGGACGCTGTCACAGACTCCAGCTACAGGGACACTGTCACAGACTCCAGCTACAGGGACACTGTCACAGACTCCAGCTGTAGGGACACTGTCACAGACTCCAGCTACAGGGACGCTGTCACAGACTCCAGCTGTAGGGACGCTGTCACAGACTCCAGCTGTAGGGACGCTGTCACAGACTCCAGCTACAGGGACGCTGTCACAGACCCCAGCTACAGGGACGCTGTCACAGACTCCAGCTACAGGGACGCTGTCACAGACTCCAGCTACAGGGACGCTGTCACAGACTCCAGCTGTAGGGACTCTGTCACAGACTCCAGCTACAGGGACTCCAGCTAAAGGGACGCTGTCACGGACACCAGCTACAGGGACACTGTTACAGACTGACCCCACCCACAAGGAGCGATGTCACAGCAAGAATGGCCCTGGGTTTCACCATGGCAGAGAGGTGACAGGAGACTGCAGGGGTGGGGGGTGTGCTCTCACAGCCTTGCCCACTCCTGCAAGCCAGTGGGGGGGCTCCCTACAAGGAGGCTTCCTTGGATTTGTGACCCAGAAGGGCCACCCTAAGGATGCCTGCCTGAGCACTGGGACTAGCAGGATCCCTGAGCCCTCACTAGCTATAGCCTTTTGTCCCTCCAGCCCTGTCAACTGTCCTGGTGAGGGATCACCTGCCACTAGCAAGAGGAGCAGAGGCCCCCTGACCTTTCTTCCTATACTCTTACCCACACCTCCTGCTGCTGTCTATGCAGGGCTCTGGAGAAACATAAACCCAGAGGAAATGCCTGTCTGCCCTTCATGTCCTCTTTGGGGCACCTCCCATGAGCACCCTGCACGTCTCGCAATCTCAGAGCCTACACAACAGTCTGAGCTCCATGGCATTGACAAGCAGAAGACAGTGGACCTAGCATCTGCTGAAATGCAGAGGTGACTCCCCCACATACTCCCCAGAGTGCTGTAGTCACCACACAGGGGCGATCTGCATGCAGCAAAGCACCAGGAAACTGTGTCTATGGACTGGATATCAGCCTCCCTCCGCCCCCAGACTCCGAACACAACGCTTAGAGAAGGGGGACCTCCCTTCACCATAGCAACAGGCATGCTATCAGAAAGGGGACCTCACGGAGGATGGCACTGAGGTCTCACTAGCTTCTCTTCTGTCCCCAGCCCTTCTTTGCTATCCTCTCCTTGCTTGGTCCTCTCCTCCCTTCTATGCTATGCGAGAGTGACCCTGTCCAGGCTCTTGGTGCTAAGCCCTCCTATTAAGCTCCCGGCCTGTTCATGAGCATCTCCAACTGAATAGTCCCAACATGGAGCTCCTGACAGCTTCAAGTCATGCCCTGTCCCATCTCGTTCTCCTGCCCAAGGAGCACCTACAGTTCTTCTCTTCAGCTCTAAAACCCGAATGCCAGATGAGCTCTTCCCACCCGTCAGTGAGCAAGGCCCATCCAATCCATCTTCAGAACATGCGCCCAAAACTCCTGTTTCTCCCATCTCCGCTATTGCCCCTGTGGCCCATGTCACCCCCACGGGCCTGGACTCCTATGGCCTCCTAATTGGTTCCTACTGAACCTCTAGGAAGCTTTCTTATCAGAGGAGCCAAAGTCCTTGGGACACTCCATTAACTTCTTCACACTCACTGTCCTCTGAATAAGTGCAAGCATCGTCCAGGTTAAAAGGCCCTGCCTCACTTCCCTGCTCAGGGCTGGCACAGCTCCGAGGCTTACTTCCCTAGCCCCACCCCAAGCCTTCCTACCCTCTCCCGAAGAGGCCCCCTTTCCTCCCAGTGTTATTGTCCTTTATCCACTTCCTAGCATGCCAATGTATCTAATGAGTCTTGTGCATGGTCTCATCCTGACACCCCCAAACAAGAGTGAGGCAGGGAATTCTGGTGAGTTTGGGACCTAGCCCCCAGCATCCAGAGCAGTATCTGTATTTCACAAACAAATTAGTCTCTTAGAGAAATACTGGGATGGCAGAGACTGGATAACAGGAGGCAGAATGGGGCTCCATGTATGCCAATAGAGGCCTATTTCCAAAAGCCTGCTGGGTGGGACAAGGCACAATAGCCCCTTCTTTCCTGTGCTAGAGACCACCCTCATTACAAACTCTCCTTCCAAGTAGCCCAGGCCACTCTATCAGCGTACAAGGGCCTCCACTGTGCCCCCCCTCCCCATTCTTCCCAAGGAGGGGGCCTGTGGAGTTAAGTAACAGAGCTATCAAGGCACCAAGAGTAGGCTGGTTTGCACATTGGGCAGCCCTCTCTGTGGCCACCCCCAGTGGCAGAGTCATCCAAGGCTCTGCTCTCACCCACGTGGTCCTGGAGAGCCACCTGGCTCCTGACTCCCGTTCTACAGTCCAGCTAACATTCTCGCTTGTCCTGCTGCTCTCGGAAGGCATTTGTGGAGGCCTGCTGGCTGACCCACTCCCAACCCCGTATATCCTAGGGCCATTTTCCAAGGAAAGCAGCCTGGAGGCCGGCTGCTCTGAGCCCTGCCCCCTGCAGCTGTCTCAGCAGCCAGCCTACGCTGGGCCCTTTACCTTTTCAGGCTCCTCTCGTACTCAGTCCTCTGCTGACACAGCTCTGCCCTGAGCGCGGCCACCTGGCCCTGGAGAGTCCGGCAGCAGCGGACGTGAGCCTGTGGGGGGCTGCCCGGGTCGTTAGGGTCGCTGCTGCCGCTGCCCGCACATGCCTCATCCAGGCTGTGGCCCAGGTCTGGTGACCTGTGGTCCTCACTGCTGCTGGGGAGGGGAGAGGGCTCAGGAGCCCACTCGGTGTGTAAGGAGCTGCAGGCGGAAGAGTCGCTGGCCCGGCAGGCCGTGCAGCTGCTGATGGAGGCCTCTCGGGAGGATGAGGCTGCAGACCACGCCATGCTGGCCATGCTGGCCGTGCTAGGAAAGTGGCTGGATGGGGGCACGTTGTCATAGGTGGAGAGTCTCTGCACTGAGCCTGCATCCTTGAGGCGGTCCCCCGATGAAGCCCGACGGTGGCCACGCAGAGAGGACAGCCCGTTGATGAGCCAGTTCCCACCGGAGGAGACGATGGGGACCTCTAAGGACGAGCTGCCCCCCTTGGGGCTCTCTGACCGTGACCCCTGCCGAAAGGAGGACTTCCAGCCGGGCAAAGTATGCATCCTCTTCCCAGGGCTGGTGGCCGCTGGGCCAGTCTGGCTGCCAAGGCGTGGGGGAGAAGTTCTAGAGAGTACTGCTGCGGCTGGCCCATCCAGAGATGAGGTCCTGTGTGTGGGCAAGCCCGGGCTACCAGGCTCACCCTGGCGGTCCCTGGTGACCTCCTCGGAGCCCCACTCTACTGTGCTCTGGGCCGTACCACGTGGTAAAGCAGGTTCTTCGAGGGAGGTTGCGGTAAAGAGCTGTCCATGTTTGCGGATGAGGACAGTCATCAGATGCTGAACCAAAGACGTGCCTGTGAGAAAGAGAGAGGAGAGGTTGGCAGTGAGTGGTCCACTCCACGCCTCAAACACACTCAGGGTCAGCTACAGCTCAGACACGGGATGCCTGTTCCTTCAGGGCACCTTCACGTGTATCCAAAAGAGGGACTGTCATACCAGCCAGGACCAGGCTCAGACAGGACTGTGCCCACAACGCCCCTGAGCATGGAGGAAGCATAGCGCTGCCCACCTAGGAGAAAGGAGGTGCCATGCAGACACGGTGCTCATCAAGGCCGCAGGATGCATCAAAACCCAGTTTCTCCTGTGCTTGCTATTGCTGCTTCTGGCTGTGCTTTAATGAAGACCCTCTGAGGACACAGGGCTCTGGAACATGGTACACACACACACACACACACACACACACACACACACACGTACATATGTATATATCTTTTTAAAAAATTACTTATTTGAGGGCTGGGAAGATGGTTCAGTAGTTAAGAGCACTTTTCTTTCCTGCAGAGGACCTGGGTTCAATTCCCAGGACCCAGAGAGTGGCTTATAACCGTCCATAACACGAGTTCCTAAGGATCCAATGCCTTTCTCTGACCTCAGCAGGCACAGGCATGCACATGGTGCACAGACATGCATGCAAACCAAACACTGATACACACTAAAAAAAAAAAAAAAGAAATATATCTTTTTAAAAGTATATTTATTTTATGTGTGTGAGTATTTTGCCTGCATGTATTTATGTGCATGGCATGTGTGCCTAGTACCTGTGGAGGTTAGAAGAGAATGTCAGATCCCCTGGAACCACAGTTACAAATTGTTTCGAGTTGCCATGTGGGTGCTAGCAACCAAACCTGGGTCATCTGCAAGAGCAGCAAATGCACTTGACCACAGAGCCACGGCTCTAGCCCCTATGAAGTCTTAATGTGTGTGGAGATATTTGTACACATAAACGCACATATGCACAGTGTTGGCCTCCTACCCCTCCATCATCCCAGAGATGCAGGGCTCCCATGGCGGTGGTATGGGGCTCAGCAGTAAGGACACGGTCATCCAAAGGTCAACAGTGTCTACTCGATAGCCGTGCTCCCTCCAACTACCCACCACCAAATACCAGAGTTGAGAGGTTCACCGAGGATGAGAAAGACCATGGCTGGGTGGACGCCACACGGAAATCGAGTGGCCCAGGAGGAATCCCAGGAGGTACTTCTCAGCCAGAAAACTGGGCCCTCCCAGACTGGGCTGTGTGGCTGCTGCTGGCATCCATGTTGGGACCCATGTCCTCAGTCCTAAGCCAGGACTTCAGGAGTGTCCCCCACCAACTAGATGTGAACATGCTGGGCAGCAAGGTCCTTACACAGGCTCTGTTGGGGACAGTCTTCCCAAAGGCCTGTGCATTCGGGTTCTTGTTTCCACTGGCCTCTCTCTACACAGGCCCTCTGCAGGCTTGGCTGACAGGTCCCCGGTGAGTCATCTCACCTCGCCTGGCCTCCGTTTCCTCATCTGGGACTTAAGGACAATGATCACACAGAGGCCGGTGTGAGGACTGCAACTGAATGGCCTAGGCGAACTGCAGCATGGAGGCTGCTTAGTCCTTCCCTTTCTCTCTTCCTTTTCTGAGAGCATGTCTCCTGGTGTCCAGGCTGGCCTCAAACTCCCGGACTGAAGTGATTCTCCCCCCTCAGCTGCACCATGCTGCCTTTTTGAAAACATCATTTTCTTACCACTTATCACAAAAGAAAAACTCGCTGGTGCTGGCACAGGCCTGTCACCCAGGAACCTCAGACAGTCGCCTCACTGTGACAGTACAGCAGAGCACATCTGTGTGGGCTCCAGGACAAGGCCTCCTGCTTCCCAGCTGCTCTAGCCTCTCTAACCACTGACCACTTTGCTTCCAATAACCAGCTGCTACCAGCCACAAGGGGACGGACGGACGGACGGAAGGAGGCTCTGTCCCTCGAGGTGCAGACAGGACATTTAAGCTCTTGTCCCCTGGCCTGGCTCTGAGCTGTGCTTTGAGCACTGCCAAGCCACCTCCCTTTTACCTTCCATGATGGTCACTGGATCCTCTATCTGAGGCCGAAGGATGTTAGGGCCAAAGACTGTTGCCAAGTTCTGGACGCTCATCTTGTTGACATTCGAGTGGGCCTGCACTTCATCCAGAAACCTGCGAGAGAGAAGAGAAGCAACTGGAGAAGCAGCAAATCCTGAAGCCCAATCTACTGTGAGCTCCAAGCCCTGCCTGGCCCCACCCACCATACCACACCCTACCAAGCCCAGCCCACACCTACCTCACCTAGTCCACTCTACACTACCTAGCCACGCACCACACTGACACTCCTAGCCACACCCCTCAGATACACTCACCATATCATACCAATGATGCCCACCCCATACCAGCCAACCACCCGCCATACTACATGCTCTTCCACAAGCCCCATCAATCCACCATACCACACCCCGCACACCTATGCTTCCATGCGCCCCCATGTGTCACAGCTATGAGCAGTCAAAGCCCAGCCACATCCACACAAAACCCACCCCATCCATACCCACTCAGCTACACTATACCCAACCACCCACTACACTACTTCCAATACCCAGGCATATCCCATAACCACCCAACCTGCACCTGCATATATTCACGCCCCCTAGCCACACCCTCTACCCCCAGCCCTACCACACGGCCCCATTCCATTCCCACACTCAGCCAGGCCTCCCAGGCTCTCCATGGGTGCTGGGGACAGTCAGCTGCACCTTATGAGATCCAGGAAGAACGCTCCTGAGATCTAAGACTACCATGAGAAACGAAGGCCAAGGGACAAGATACGGTCATCCTCGGTGCAAATGCCCCAGAAGCTTGGACCCCACTAAGAGCTGTGTGAGTGTCATCCCTGCAGGCCCCTACCAGCACCCAGAACGCGGCTACATGAGCGTCTATATCCGTGGGGAAGGGAAGTGAGAGGTACCCAGGAAGGCAGGGGCAGGCTCCTTCCGAAAGGATTCACCGACCGCCTCCTGCAGCTCTGTGCTCTTCCACGCTCCTTGCCATCCCAACACTGGGTGAAGGAGGCAGTGTTGAGAGCGTGAACGGCCCCTCTGCACGGTTTTGTCTCTCCAGGGGTGGAAAGAATGAGCAGAGCCAGAGCAGCTCCAAACAGGCCACTTACCTGCAGATGTATCGGAGCAGGTTGTAGTTGGCCTGAGGAAGGTTGCTCACTTGTTTAGCCAACTCCAGAGTCCCCTTGTAAAGGAAAGAGAACATAGAGTTTCAAACACCAGCAGTAAGGCCTCCTCTGACTGGAGGAAGACGGGACAGGAGGAGGGAGGGATGTGTGAGCAGTCCCAGCTGACCTCCTCCATCCCTCCAAAGTGCAGCTGTGACCTCTTGAGGAGACAGACTGACTTCGTGTCTGGGAGCTGGAGTGAGGGGTGAGCCTCTGCAAGGCCACAGAGGAATGTCTCAGCTCACTTATCGGGGCCCAAATATTTGCCAGATAACAACTCTCACCCCCAGACAGTCACAGAGAAGGCAAACAGTCTTGCAGCAGCAGCAGCAGCAGCAGCAGCTCAGAGCTGCAGATGGCTCCGGCAAGGCCAGGAGGCAGAGGGTGGAGGGGAGGGGGCTGACACCAGTCCTCAGAAAACAGGTAACGGGGCCCCTTGGTCTCAACACTGTGCAAGCCTGGAAGCCTGAGCCAGGTGTGGGAGACAACGGTGAAGCAGAGGAGTGGTGTAAGGTGGCCAGAACTGGGTGCCCCGTGTTAAGAGGGATCTGCATTCCACCCCACCCCCTCTTCTATTTCCGAGATAAATATCCGAGGAAGACTAGAGTCCTACACAGAACGCACAGCACTTGGGGGCCCTTCTTCCCCCACACAACAACCTTCCCGTCAGGACCTAGGCGCCACTGATAAGTCTTGACTCCACAGGCCTGCTGCCCCCCAGCCCAGCCCCAGGATATGTCCCGGGAGGCACTGACCTCCCCCTCGTCCTTGGTGAGCAGCTGGGCGCAGCTGAGGAAGTCCTCATACCTGGCGAAAGGGATGACGGGTTCTGGGAGCTCCCGAAGGTAGAGCTTCAGCAGGGAGGCCACTGTGTGCACGTCTGTGGTGCTGGGATAAAGTGGGGGCCTGAGTGAGAACAGGACCCCAGGAGGCGGCAGGACTAACACACACACTCTACCTCACATGAGACCAGGGCAGTACCTGGTCTCAGGTCAAGGTGTATGCATACAGCCAGGCTCCTCTGGAGCCAGTGGCCCGTGGTCAAGGTCAGACCCAGGCTACCTGCAAGCCCAGGCAGCAGGGCCCCTATGGGGAGGGTGAGGAGAGACCAGAATCTCCAGCTTGGATCTACTCATCAGTCCCACACCACTGGCTCAGAACCTAGCCTAGGGTCTGAGGGGTGAGGAGAACTCTCTTTTGTGTTCCCAGTGTGGGACTTGGGAGATGTTCTGCTGCAGAAGCCACAGGGCATGGTTGTTCCGCTCAGGACAGTTGCTCAGGGTGGAAGGAATTACCTGTGACCTGGACCAGCTTCACAGGAAGCTCTCATGGAGTACAGCCAAGCCTTTGCTTGAACTTGCTAAGTGCCCGGGATGAATCTTGGCTGAATCGGGAAATCTGTATCAGAGGGACCCCATCAGGGCTGACCTCCCCGCAGAGAGCAGGCATCTAAGTACTGACTGGGCAGGTGAGAGAGCGGTCAGGTCCTTGCCTCTGGTCTCAGCTCCTCACTCCATCTCGAGGGCCTTGGATGTCCACAACAGGACTTAGTCTCCACTCCTGGCTCAGAGATGCCTAGGCTGAAGGGAGGGGGGGGCAGGGCGGTGGAGGGGTTCAAGGGTATTCCCAGGTCAGGCTCACTTTCTCTTTTCCTACCTACCTGGGCTCTGCAGGGCAGTTCTGGCCACAGCTGGCTCCTCTTCTAAGCTGGCACCTCAAGCTACACCTGGGCCCCAGGAGACTTTCCTAGGCCCCGGCTTTCAGGCCCAGCTTAAAGTTCCACAGAGGGTACGCTCAAAGATGGCCTGGGGCCAGCAGACCTTGGCTGTGCTAATAAGGTGACACTTGGCCATGGCCATGTACCACACTGGCATCAAAAGCGCTAGGGTCCTTTTGGCAGACCTTTGAGATTATGGACTTCCACATGAGCACAAGCACCCAAGATCCATACACGCGGGCTTCTCCCCTGACCGCCCCTCTCAAGCCAAGCGTGCCTCTCCTGGCCACTGCCTTCTCCTGGGCCACTTTCTCTGTCCACGCTGGAGGCCAGTGCCCTTCCCAAATGGGACTCTTCAGGGTTAGCTGTTGCTGCTGCCTCGGGGAGACAGGAAGTGGGACTGGTTACATGGTACCTGCTCCAGTCCACAGACCTTCCTGCCTGCGTTCCTGCTCAAGACCCCTCCCACACCATCTATCACCCACAGAGACCTGTGGCTCAGCTGTACCCCATGGTCACTGCTCCTCATACTCTAGCGCTCTCATGGCTCCTCTGCAGCCTTCCATCCCCACTCACGGCTGCTCTTTTCTTTAACACTTGGCTCCAGTGTCCCTGAATCCTCTTCCCACACCACTATGAGCCCACTGCACCCCCAACACATTCTCACCAGCACCAGAGCGTTCCAGGCCGACGGGCCTGGGCCCATCAGCCTGGGAGTCTCACAGTGAATGCTACATGCAGCTGGTGGGCTGAGGCAAGGCCACAGAAGGCCCAGTGGGTCAGCAGACTGCTCTGGTCAAATCAGCTGTCTCCACGGCCCATGCCTCCTCCTGCAGCTTCCCATCCTCTCTGTATTCCCAAAGTCACCCTCTTGCCCATGCCAACAACAGCATTCATCCAGAATGCAGGCCTTGCCTCTCACCTGTCTCCAATCCTGGAGAACACACACATACCCCACTGGCTCACAAGCTCTTATCTGCACCCCCAGCCTCCACTGGCTTCCTAATTTATTCTCTCTCTCTCTCTCTCTCTCTCTCTCACACACACACACACACACACACACACACACACACACACACACACACAGCCCTGGGGCTGAATGTAAGCAGATGAAAAGGAGTTTTGTGGTAGAGGAAGACCAAGGCCAGAAGCAGGGCCTAGAGGCAGGCTAGTGCAGGGGGCGCCACAGCCCAAGGCAGAGTAAGTCCGGGACAGGGAGCCCGTAAGTCCGGGACAGGGAGCCCTGTCACGCAAGCCCAGTTGGTTGGTGGAAGGAGGCCTCCCTGTGAATGAGCTGTAGAGAACAGAGCTCCAGCGCTCACAGTGAGCAGGTGGGCAGGGGAGCAGAGCCCTTGGGCCTCTATGAGTAGGGTGCAGTAGAGCCCTAAGGTGTCCCCACGAGTGAGCTAAGGGGAACAGAGCCCCGGGACCCCGTGAGTTGGTGGACACAGCTCTGTAAGAATAGCCGAAACTGGGAGAGAACAGTCTCAGGAACAGTTTCTGAAGCACTGCCCCTGCGGGAGGACATTGCTGAGCCACCTACCTGGGAGGAGGGACTGTTAAAACCCCAGGAAGGGGGGGCCATGATGGAAGGGGCGGAGCCGCAGCCTGGAGCAAGGGCCTTGTCATGCTGCCAAAGCTGAGATGTAGGTCTGTGGAGCTGAACTCAGGGATAGGAACCAAGCTGAGCCCAGCTGGCACCGGGCATTAAACAGGAGGCATGGTAAGCTGATGACATTAGAGGGTGGGTCAGGCAGAAGGCTTGGTACCTCGCCAGGAGACCCCAGTGAGTTTGAATATGGCGGTGTGAGGCCTGACACCCTTCCAGTGTGTCATCCAACACTACAGCAGTGTGTCTGACTCTGGGCATTTCTAAAAGCCACTGTTCCCCACAAGCTTCTACAAGCTGTGAACAGGGCTTCACAAGGCTCCAGGTAAAGAAAGGGACTCCAATGCCAGTGGTTAGTCCTGAGCACCACAGCTAAGGAAAGCAATGGCAACCCTCTGGTTACGGCCACGGGTCTGGGAAGAAGCTGGACAGATAACTGTTACACTCTGTAAGGCCAGGAAAGCTCAGGGCTGTGAGCACTGCAGGGTTTGTCTTGTGGCAGCAGGAGCCTCGGTTTGAGCAGAGATACCAGAAAAGGCAGCTTTATGGATGTCTGGTTTGCTTTGATGGCTTGATACAAGAACTCTGCACAAAACTGATCTGTAACGAGTGGGATCCCGGCAGAGAGAAGGGAGATCACCCAAACCCACGGAGAGGCAAGCCCCACTCCCCCACTCTCAGGCCCTGGGCAGCGGATGTAGCTGTCTTCCCCTGGCTGTGGGAAAGCCTCAGTGATGAGTACAGATCCAAGGTGGGCAGAAGCGACTGTCTACCTGTCCTAAAAACTGAGACAGAACTCAGCTGCTATACCGTCATACCATTATGGAAGCTTGGGCTGAGTCGCTGAGAGGAGGGAGAGCTAAGAGCCCGCTGCAGTGAGCCTAGAATCCTAGATGCAGCTGTGCCTAAGCCACGCTGGCCGGGCAGCTAGCTGACGCCTTCTTCCCTCTACCTGGGTCAGAGAAGAGCTGTGGGAACTACCACATGGCTGACCTTGTTTGTGGCAGACAATCTCAAGAAGACGAGGGGACCAGCATGATTCTGTGCCCTCGTACTCTGCCCTCTGAGCAGACTGGCTAAACATGCGTGAGGCAGCCAGCACACCAGGCTCTGCTCAGGAGCTGGTGCCGGGGAGGAAACTGACAGGAGTCTTGGCAACTGGTTCCACCTATACTGCCCTGTCCCCAGAGCTCACCTGTCAAACAGAGGCTTCTCCCCACAGTCGAAGGAATCCTGCAGGTCCCTCACCAGGTTGGCCTGGCCGGGCATACGGAAGAGGCCCTCTTCACTGAGTCCTCGCTCCCGGATGAAGTCCACACACTGCTCCACCAGCAGAGGTGCCAGATGGGGACCATACTTCCGCTCATGGTGCACTGTGTCCTCCAGCCGCTGCCCAAAGATCCCTGGACACAGAAAGGGACTGTTCACACTCCCCTGACACTGATCAATGGCGGGTGAAGGGTGTCTGGGGCAGTGGAAGGCAGAGAGAGAATACTGTGTGAGCCAAAGGAGGCTCTTCCCAAGGAAACAGATTAGACACTGGGAAGGCACACCCAGGTGGGCTAGTCGGGGCTGTGAGGGAAGCAGCAGGCATGCAGCTAGTCTGGCCTTTAGGGCTTGTCCAAGCCAGGAGAAAACGGCCCTCAGGAAGCATTGTGTTGGTGGATTTGGAACTCACTCCAGATGGGAAACTACGCCATGCCCAGGCACAAGAAAATGAGCAGATCCCTCACGGGTCAGTCTCCTGGGCGCCGCTGCAGAAGGGAGGAAAGAGGCTCACAGGACGAGACTGTCGACACACTGATGTGCAAACACCATCAAAACGACGCGATGAGCATGAGCACTGGATAGCTCAGCTCAGCGGGTCAAGCTCTCGACACACAAGTCTGAGGACCTTAGCTCAGATCCGTGAAAATCTGGACACAGTAGCACACGCGTGTAATCCCAGCGCTCCTACAGTGAGATAGGAGGATCCCTGAAAACTCGCTGGCAATGAACAAGAAACCCTGTCCCCAACAAGGAGAGACAACCAAGGTTGTCTTCTGTCCTCACATGTGTACTATCACACACACACACACACACACACACACACACACACACCAGAGAGAGAACAGAAAAACACATAAGACACTGCCCCTCATCCCTCAAGATGCTACTGTCAAAAGAAGAGAAACCTTGCCAGGCAATGTTGGCACATGCCTTTAATCCCAGCACCTGGGGGCGGGGGAGAGGCAGGTCTCTGTGAGTTCGAGGCCAGCCTGGTCTACAGAGTGAGATCCAGGACAGCCAGAGCTACACAGAGAAACCCTGTCTCGAAACAAAACAAAAAACAAAAAAAGAAGAGGAGGAGGAGAAACTGGGGAGAGCTGGTGAAGAGGCAGAGGAACCGAAGCTCTATGCACGGCGTGGGGTAGAGGAATAAAGCACGGTGCACCACTCAAGCGGACGGGAGATGGTGCCGCTGGGATACACATGCACTGTGGTGGGTCTTTCAAGGGAACAATTCCAGCTCCAGTTAGACACGGGAAAAGACCGAAAGTGGGGTGATGTGTACACATGCACAGCAGCTTTCCAAACAGCAACCCAAGGTGGGAGGCACTCAGCTGTCCATCAGTACACACAATGTGCCGTACCTGCAGAATGAGACGTGGTTCTGCCTTACAAAGTCAGGAAAGGCTGACAGAGGCTACAACATGGATGAATCTAGAAGGCACTGTGCACAATGAGGCACTCACAAAGGAAGGAAAGCGGTGTGACCAAACTGGTAAGATTCCTACATTGTCACGCTCAGAGACAGGAAGTGGAATGGTGGCTGCTGGGGGCTGGGCGGGGAGGTGGCCGTAACTGTTGAGCGGTACAGCTTCGAAGATGGTGGTGAAGGATGGTAAGGCTAATGCTACTGAGCTTTATGAAGGGTGAAGCAGATGGTAAAGTAGGCTTATTTTATGAAAATTCTTAAGAACAGAAACCGTAATCGTAAGCCTAATCAATGAGCTCCTGAACACACACCGTGTAACTTCGTTCATGTGAAGCCACAGACAAGTCGAACTGATGTCAGGCCGGAACTTGGCTCTTATGGCTCAGTGACCAGAGGTGCCTCAGGCTTGTGGGGTGCCAGCACTCCTGGGTCTGAACCTGACATGCTACCCCAGTCACACACACTTAAAGCAAGGCCACTGAACGGTGCCTGAGTCATTTGCACGCTTTCCAATATGCTATACCTCAAAAAAACATTCGGGAGAAAAATAAGCAAAACATCAGAAAGAAAAGAATCCAAATATGTAACGAGGACCAGAGAGCAGCTGCAGGTTAGAAGAATGGAGGAGAGAGGAAGGCAGAGGGGTTTCTGGCTAAGAACCCTGATAATTCCATATACAAGGCTACGCGTTTCCTGGTAACCCAGCAAAGAGATTAAGAAGCCAAGATCTGTAAAGCTCTCTGCCCAAGGGGTAAGCAGATGGATCACAGCTCTGTGCCAGCGGTTCTCAGCCTTCTAATGCTTTGACCCTTTACTACAGCTCCTCGTGCTGTGGTGAATCCCCAACCATAAAATTATTTCATTGCTACTTCATAACCGTAACTTTGCTATTGTTATGAATCATAATGTAAATATCTACTATGCGGGATATCTGACTGCAACCCCTGTGAAAGGGTTGTTTGACCCCCCAAAGAGGTCGAGACCCACAGGTTGAGGACCACTGCTCTGGGGGGAGGGGCGTTGCTGATCTTTAGAACGTCTGGTGTTATTCACATCCTCACTGTGCTGACTTCAATGGATAGCCTTTGGGGCATGTGAGGGGCATCACGCCAGAGCTCCATTGTGTTGAGGGCTATAGTTTTGTGGGACCTGGATCATGAGGCAGCCCAGTTCAACCACCTGTCTGGCAACCTACTTCACTCCCTGCTCCAGGGCTGGAGAAATAAGACACCTCAGTCCCTGGTAAAGCCTTTGCCCAGCATTCATGAGGCCCTGTGTTCCATTCCAAACACTACAAATAAATAAAGATATGGCTCCGCAAATGCTGTTCCTTCAACTGCATGATCTGGAAACAAAGTATACCGAGCAGGGGAGGAAGCTGTCCCCTCCCCCACACCCCCTTTCTGGGAAAGCCCTCAGGACACCTCAGGTGGGCACCATCGATACTGCAGAAGAGGCGCACGCCATATGCACACGCAGTTTGCGCTTGTTTGTGCGTGTGAACGTGTGAGCAGGTCAGCTTGTGTGTGCCCGTGGCAGGGTCCAAGTTCAGCCTGTTCAGTGTGGCTCTGGGTGCAGCAAACATCCAAGCTCTTCTGCTGCCATCATTCACTCACATCGGAACGGAGACGGAGGCCCCCAGCAGCAGGTCCCACGGGCAGGGATCATGGGGGTCACAGCAGAGGAAGTGATACTGGCAAAGAGGGAAACCTGTCTCTCTGGGACTCGGCAGGCTAGTCCCCTGACCACGGGGAAGGGTCAGAGCCTGGAGCCCAGGGACAAGCTGGCTACTTGGGCAGCTCAAAGGAGGCCAGACTTAAGAGGCCTTGAGTCACCTCTAACAGTGTCCTAGCCTTTGGGGTTAGAGCTGGTTGGTCCGAGGACACAGAGACCCTGATCTTTTTCTCTCACTCGGGACTCAGTCACCCACGCTCAGGGGCCTAGGATGCACGAGCTTACCTCCTATCATGTTGGGTACTATTTATTTATTTGTTTGTTTGTTTGTTTGTTTGTTTGTTTATTTTCATGTCAGGGTTTCTCTGTATAGCTTTGGAGCCTATCCTGGAACTCGCTCTGTATCCCCAGTTGGACTCGAACTCACAGAGATCCACCTTCCTCTGCCTCTTGAGTGCTGGGACTAAAGGCATGCACCACCACTGCCCAGCTTGCTCGAAACATTTTTAAAATTAGCTTTTTTTTCTCCCTTTCTCCTTCTTTGTTTTGAGGTCCTCACGCTAGGCAAGCTCTCTATCACTGAGCTGCAGCCCAGCTCTTGAGTTTCTCCTGTAATATCCGTGCTTATGGTGGCAACAGGGCTAAGTTCCCACAGGGCAGGAGTGGCCGAAGTCCCTTTGACAGAAACGCCCTGCCCATCCTCTGCAGTGCGAAGGATTCCTTACTGTCCCCTCCCCAGTTAGGCTGCTTCACGCTTTGAGGCCTTTATCTGCCTCATCTGCTTTAAGCCTGTGAATACAGACTTCCCCAAATACAGACTTACCCAGACACTAGAGTCTGGGTAAGTGGGGAAGCCGTGGGACATCATGGCTGTTGTACCCAGAAGAACCATTACTTCAAATGAGCAGGCATAGAACACAGAGAGGAAGAGCCCAAGAACAAAGTGTCCCCAGGTCAGGCAGGGGCTAACTTGGCAGGGCACCTGCCTCCTCCCCATCACTCACATGGACCTTTCATTCAGCTTTACTCACTCCTCAACTGTCTCTACTGTCAGCTTTCACACAGCCACACCCATGTGTAGATGGGTTTTTTGTTCTGTTTTGTTTTAACTCTTTGGGGGCCCACCATCCAGCTCCCAAATAAATACAAGGAGACTTATTCTTAATGAACGCCCGGCCTTAGCTTGGCTTGTTTCTAGCTAGCTTTTCTAACTTAAATTATCCCGTTTCTCTTTAACTACATTTTGGCTCTGGGCTTTTCACCTTTCTTTATTTTATATATCTTTCTTTTCTTCTTACTCTGTGGCTGGCTGGGTGGGTGGGTGGCTGGCCCCTGGCATCCTCCTCTCCTTCTTCTTTTCTTGATTTCTCCTCGTATTTACTCTCTCTGCCTGCCAGCCCTGCCCATTTCTTTCTACTGCCTTGCTATTGGCCATTGAGTTCTTTATTAGACCAATCAGGTGTTTTAGACAGGCAAAGTAACACAGCTTCACAGAGTTAAAGAAATGCAACATGAAAGAATGCAACACATCTTTGTAGTAATAAAAAATATTCCACAGCATAAACGGATGTAACACACCTTGAACTAATATTCCACAACACCCATGCATGGGCAGAGCCTTCTATCTCCATCACTTCTCGCACCCAGGGTCACAGCAGTGCAAGGCATTCCTTTCTACGGGGCCACTGGCAGAGGTGGGCGGGGGGGTAAGAACATAGGAAGGACAAACATAGTGTGGTCTTCAGCCTGTCCTGAGTCACTGCACTCAGCTCCTGGCCTCAGCTCCCAGTGACTGAAGGCCAGTCAGGAAGACACAAGACGCGCCAAATTCTCTCCACAGACTCACAAAGCTCAGGTGATTCCAACCAGCCCCCTTCCTGCTCCCCGTGTCCCAAGCATCTGCCTCTCACTGTGTATTGTGCCTGGTCCTGTGCTAAGAACAGAAGGCCCCCTATCCTCAGGGGAGACAAACCCAGATCCCCAGTGAAAAGGAGACAGCACTATCCCCTAAGAAGACCACGATCTAAGTGT